AAGCCTTCAATTTCTTTCTAAACATGAGTAGCTCTGTTTTTGTTTGGTTTTTTTTTAATATCAAAAAGCAGCCTTGTTTGGAAGATCATAGTGCAAATTCCATTAATATAATCAAGCTAAACCTTTTTTATGGGTTGCCTTCATCCAGACCCCTATCTCTTTTACTAAAACTCAAAAAAGGTGTAAATATAGCCCGTAACCCACAGTGCCCATTACAGCCATTGTTTTTGAAGCCCAGGACTGCAGGAAGTTAAAACACAGCTGTCTTCTTGACTGGTGTAAGGTAACAAATCAAGTCCTCAAAGTATCAACAGAAAAGTAACTGATCCAGAAAATAGCGAAGGTTTGGTTTGTTTTGGTTCTGGTAAATCAGGACATTGCTTTGCCAAGGCTATTGCTGGGCATGCTGCCTGCACAGTGCAGTTACATAGGCAGACAGAGGAACTCCCATGAGGAATTTCAATCCCTCTAGCGGTGGGAGGGTGGAAAATTACTAAGGGAACCTCTATATGCATTCAGCAAGTTAAATATGAACCTAAATGAGCTTTAACTGTGTAACATCAGCTGCATTTGAAACCCATTCAATCTTCACAGGCTTCCTTTTCCTGAAAACAACTTCCAGAAATTCATAGTTTTGTAACTTCCTGACCCAGAAGTTGCATCTGTGTGTAATCTTTGTGTGTAAGAGCCATGCAGTCTGTGAAACCATCCATTTCCTTTTTTTAACCTTCTCCACATTTGATTCTCTGTATGTTGCTACATGCATTCCACAACACAGGACCTTTCAAAGTAATTTACAGATTATATTGCTTCACACCCCCTTTTAGCTTGTATGTACCTCTGATCTTAGGAACCACTTTTTATGTCATTTGTCATAGATGCAGAATAAACTTAGGTGCTGTTCTGTTCTTCAGGCAAGAACACTTCTCAAATACCTGCTCCATCTTCCCTGCTACCTGAGCCACTCAGTGAAGACTGGGTAAGTGTGTGCTAATACAGCAGACTGTCTAAGAAACAAAGTGTTTTATGGCAGGAAGATGCTTTTCAGTCTGCAAAACCCAGACACGGTCATTTCACAGATTCATTCCCTTCAGTGTATCTCACACAGCTGAGCAGGCCATGGCACAAGTAATGGAATTCCATCAGATGTTTATTCAGCATGAGCAACAGTTTGGCAAGTTAGCGCTTTCCACCAACACGGGGAGCAGAAACCTTGACTGGTTTCACAATCTTCTGCTTAGGTGCTGCCTTTGTAGGGGCCTGTAGAGAAATAATGAAGTATGAGTGAAAAGAAGCTATTTATTTGCAGTTCTAAAAGTGTCCCTGTATGTACTCTTGACAGAAATCAGATCAGACTAGAATTGCAAACTGTAATACTGGGATCACGGTAACATTAGTTTACACACATAACACTAAGCCAACATATGGTATTAATTCAGAAGTGATAATGAAACACAGGGTAGCACTCATCAATATATTGTTACCAAGTTCCTAGATAGTGAAGATGTCACATTCAGACAAGTTTTTATCTAATAATTATCTCTGATATTAGGTCAGAGAATTATGTCCTGTAATATTTACTTATTCTGTAAAAAAGATTCATTCTATGCAGCTGTTTGGGTATGTTTAACTTTTGTACTAAAGTCCAGTCAAGGAGCTTTCACATCAGAAAGCTACAAACATGCTTCCTCAAAACAGAAAAAGAAATTTCCAATTAAGAGCCACAGCAGAACATTGTATGTCATGTTACAACATGGTGTATTCCATTTTATAATTTCTATTTGCCTATTGCATCTCACCTTTGCAGCAGAAACAGCTGTTTTCTTGGTTGCCTGCTTAGCCTTCTTGGCTTCCTTTGCAGCCCTGTTAATTCAAAGAAAAAGTGGAAATTATCCATGTCTGCCATTCACTGTTTCCTTGTTTCAGCACTAAAAGAGCTTCCCAAGATCAGGAATGGAATGCATTACTGCAGATTTCTCCTCTATATTCACTATCCCCTGAAGGAATTTCTATAGAGACAGCAGAATTGTGAGTGACAAAAGTACAAAGGGAAAAGGCAAGGAGAGATCCTTCTCTGCTGCCACTATCTCTTGCCAAAATTACTCAGTATTACATACAAATATACAGATTAAAAGCAAACAGAAAATCTTGTAAACACAGAGCCCACCTAGAGTTTACGCTTTTATATGAAAAGTACTGTAATTTTTGAAAAGCTTGGGATAGCTCCACTGATCTGGCTTCTCACCTGATAGCTTGTTCCCTCTGTGCCTTTCGTACTTCGGGCTTCTGGTTCCGCTTGGCCATGATCTCAGCTAGAGAGGCACCAGTGATGGCTCTCTGAAACTTCACAGCACGGCGTGTGCGCTTCTTCTGGACCTCTTCCTAAGAGGGCAGGAGACAAACGCAGACAATTAGCATCACAAGACATTAAATACGTGCCTAAAGACAATTATGGAAACAAGCTGCTACTCAAATTGAAGCTATTTAAAACTGTACACTATAGTAGAATTTTACTCCTCGCTTTAGAGAATCCTTCTGTTGGGTACAGAGAAGTGCTGCCCTACCTCCATATGGCCCCTTCTCCAGCCACATCCTGTACTTTTCATCGTGTGTTACTACCAACAATCCTTGGTTAACTCCTCAGCTGTCCAGCTATCAGTGTTGGAGACACACATATTACACCCTGTATCTTCTATGCTTCTACAGCAAAGTACGAAAAAAAAAAATATTTTGAAAGAATGTTAGAAGTTCAGCCATCTGTAACTCCCAGAAGAAAAGAGGGCAGAAGGATAAACCTTTGATGGTGTCTTCTGAAAGGAAAACACTCCACACCTATTCAAGTGGATCAGGTGCTGGGGAGCAGTATAAGCCATCATGCATCAACTTTCTTCAACCAAACTGGCAAGAACACTGACTTGCTGCACTGATGTAAGCCTTTCTCAAAACTCCTCTGCTGTGCAAGTTTAAACAAGAGCACTGCACCATACCTCATGCTACATGTTTCATTATTTATCCTTCTCATGCAATGACAGCTACATAGGGAAAGACTTCATGCTACAGCCCAAAGTTTTCAAGGAGAGTATATTAGGAGAGTCATCCCTGCCCCTCTAACCCCAAAATCAGCTCCCTATGCTGTCATCACTGAGGAAGTTTACAAGAGCAAACTTTTACAAAGTCTGCATAATAAACAGCATTACCCACCTTCCCTAAAACTAATTTTTAAAAACAAGCCATTCCTACAATTATTAAGATCTGCTGAACATACTGTGGCTCTGAGTGGTCTCTCAAAGAAGTGCTACAACACAATACACTGCTTTTGTTGAAGTGGTGTATAAACTCATGTAGCTGCACTCATGTCTTCACCATTATTAACTAGTCTTCATCCTGGTAACTTGGGTCATGCTTCTGCTGAACACTGGCACACTAAGTGACCTCTGACAGAGCAGTGACCATATCCTTTGGTCACCACCTTCCAGTGCCATTGGCTGGTATGTACTTACTGACTGTCCCTTCTTGTGCTTACGCCTGTACAGAACAGTCCAGTTGATCTGACGAGGGTTTCTCTTGGAAAGGAATGCAGACTCACATTTTGCATTCAAGAACTGAAAAACCTGGGAAGGCAAAATGTTTTGTGTAAGCTTTGTTTCCATGAAAGACATTATCACAGTTTGCATTAAGTATTCTTTAAGTCAGTGTTTTTCGACATTGATGTTTTTGGAATTCTTAAACACAGCTCTGACTATTCAAAATTTTAGAAGACAATTCAAGAAATCTCAAGTTTTGTATTTTGTTACATTGGTCAAACAGATGTATTGCAAGGCATTCTGAATTATCTTAATTTTTCTGGAAAAAGTTCAAATTACCACTTGCATCCAGTGCTGCTGTGTATTTCAGGCACAGCATCAATAGCTGTGTCCAGCATCATGCTTCCCAAGTGTCTGTCCGCAAGCAACAATGTACTTCCTGTATGTGGGAGTGACTCAAAACTTGGCCTAGGGAACACAGGGAGACCAGTGCTCCACCCGACTCCCCCCTGCCTAGTGACACTAACCTGTTTGTCTAAAACAACAGGCAGAACGTTCAAGCCGGTTTGTTATTAGCTATATAATTCATTGAAAGTACGACCTTATTCCCAGGATTCGCTCACAAGGATTCAGCCAGTCTATCTCCTGGTTATTTTGCCGGGAATTCCGCAGAGAAAGATGACTGTACTGGTATACTCAAAAGCCAAGCCATCCTTTCACCGGTAGGGACAAATCCTGTCTGCGTATGACATGACAGCTTGAACGGGCTCTCCACCCTATTTTACCTCAAAGATTTCTACTCAATTACTTTGGGAGACCAGCTTTTGGCTCCAGGAATCTTAGCATTTGATGCAGGACGTCTAAGCAACATTTTCTACACAACTTTGGTACTTTACACCTGCTGCTTTAAGACTCCCTTTAAAAGCTGCATTCTAAAACTCAGCCCCAAGCTATAGCACGGATCTCCTGCGGAGCAGCCACGGCAACTGCACACCGATGCTGTTTTCACACAGCTCGGTACGAACGACTCGGGCATGGGCCACATCAACACTACCGGGGTCTCCGGACAATCCCAAAGGCGCGGCCTCGGCTCCCCGCGCACCGCCCGGCCGCCCTCCCGTCCGCAGGGCCCTCCGATCCGCAGGGCCCGCTCCCGCCCGCGGGGCTCGCCCCAGCCTCACCTTCCCGTCCGTGCGGGCGTAGCGGCGGCCATGGCCCGGGTAGATCTTGTACCCGCTGAAGCTGCACAGCTCGACCCTGCGCGGGAGAGAAGAGTTAGGGGAGGGCGCGGGTGGCCGGGGGAGGCGGCCGGGGCCCCGCGGCGGCCTCCCCGCGGCGGATGGGCGCGGATAGCGGCGGACAGGGCGCTCACTTCATGATGGCGGCGGCTGCGAGGGGCCGGAGAGGCGGAGGGGACGCCGGGAGGCGGTGTCGGGAGCGGCGCGCGGGGCCCGACGGGAGCGGAGCGGGAAGGGCAGGGCTGGGCCGGCAGCACCGCCCCGCCCCGGCCGCACCGCGGCGGCTTCACGGAGCGCTCGCCCGGCCGGGCTCCCCCGGCGCAGCCCCGGACGCGGGACCCGCCGCTCTAGCCAGCATAAAGGGCACGGTGCTCCCGTAGCGGAGCGGCCCGGCCCATCTGCGCTCCGTTGCCTGGCGGTGTTGTCAAGCGCGGGGCATGGCGGCAGCCGGTGCTGCGGCCGGGGCGGGGGATGAGGCGGCCGGAGCGGGTAAGGGCAGCCCTGGACAGGTGCCGGGGCCCGCGATGTTGGGGGCTGCGGGTCCTGAAAAGCGCTGTGGGTGCTCGGAGGGGTGTGGGGGGCTCGGCGCTGCGGAGGCGGCGGCGCCCCCTCCTTTCGGGGCGAGGGGCCGGCTCGGCCGCTCCGGTGCCCCCGCTCTCAGGCGGCCCCTGAGGGCCCCGCGGGCTGGAAGCGGCCGGGGCAGCGCGGGGCGAGGGGGGCGCCGCGGGCACCGCTTCCCCCCTGAGGAGCGCCTGTGGCTCGGGGCAGGACGGAGCACTGTCCATCGTGCTGGAGGGTCCCGCCGCCTCGTAGAACCTTTACAGGCCAGGGTCTGAACGATACAGGGCCCGTTTTCCCTAGGGGGGGGCTGAGAGGTCTTGGGGACAGCGCCACTTCTGAGGGTGTAGTTCGTTGGTTCCTGCCAAACGAGAAATAAGCAATTTTGAAATGTTTTCCTGGGTCCTGAAAGCCTATTAGGAAAATCTCCTTCCCCAGGTATTATATCAATGAGTCTTTATAGAATGGAATCATATTAATTTGGTTGAGTTCCACGTGTATATATAATTCATGCTGTATACTGAACTGCCATGCTTAAGCAAGCAAAGTAAAGCTTGATGCAAAGAGAAGGACAAATGATGTTGAAAGAGGGACCTATGCTTCTCTGAATCTTGAAGGTGCTCATAAAGGATACCCCCAGCAGGGAGATAACACCAGCACCCCAGGTCGTTTAACACCTCTGTGAAAACCTTCCTTTGTCAGCATCATGGAGAAGTGATTCTAGCAAGTCTGATTGCAGGAACGTCTAGTTCAATAGCAAAGCAGGTGGATGATGTTGCCATAGAAATACAGGTTCTTTGCAAATAGTTGTGTATGTTAAGTAGCAGTTGGATCACGTTATACTTGAATGTTGGAAATCTATGAGAACCATGTGTAAAGCCACATTCTGAGTGCCCCAGTTTGAATGGGACACCTCATGTGCATGAATAAAAGGATTACTCTTGCAATTCAGTACTGTGGGTCTTTGCCTCTCTCCTAGATTGGAGGGGCCAGTTGTGAATTTTTGTAACAAACCCTTGGATAAATGAGCAGATGCAAAGTTTGTCTGGTCAATTAAAGTGACCAAGCAGTTGCAGAAGTGACTGCTTGAGTGAGAAACAAGTGGTACTGTCTCCCTGAATGTGCAAAGACAGGAATGTGATGGTTGCTGGCTCTGCCTTGCTGCTCTTCAAAGCTCTTGGGGCAACCATAGATTGGAAAAAATGATGGGAATATAATAAATGTCATCAGACATCTTTTTTAGTAATGCATGTTCTCTAGCTGAAAAAATGGTACACAAAAAATGTTTGTCTTCATCCATAGTGTAACTAAACCCTAAAAACCTATAAACTGTCATAGTAATATGTGCATCATATTAGGGTGAGACCACTATTTGGGATATGTTGCTGAAAAAGGAAACGTTATTTACTGAACAGATACTAAGAACAAGAAGCACTACAGTGATGTTTGTACATCAAATGCACAGCAGAGGCTCAATGTATGAAAATTATTACAATTATCAGGTGTCACTTTGGGTACCCAGTGATTCAAGCTCCCTGTAGATGGCAAATGTTTGCCTTTTAACTTTATGTAGTGACCCTTTTTGCATGGAACATTTGAATTGTGTGTTGCATTAAGTAAATAGTGTGCTAGCCCGTTTACAGTTTGTTCCTCCCAATGTCCCCAGTACTGTAGTATGGCTGCACGAGTGGCTTCTTAGTTTAGATAGAATGCTTACACATAGTTAGTTGTCAAGCTGCTCAAAACTTAAATTCTCCGAAGAATTTTTAAATTTAGGTTCTTCTGAAATTTGGAGTTTTGAGGATCACACCTTTAAATTTAGCTACCAGAATTTTGCTGCATTTCACTTCAAAGGATCTGTTGTGACTTTCCCAGAATTCTGCCAGAGTTCCTAACTGGGACAGTGTCTGGTATGTATATCTTCCAGTAACTGCATCAGTTACTCTTAAAGTGTTCAAGTGGAAGTAATTTGCTTCAGTTTTACATGGAAAAGAAAGTTAATCTGTTTTTCCAAATTATCTGCATCTATTATAAAACAAATCTTTTTATTTTGCATTGCTTTTCCAGTACATGTTCTCATATATAAACTTTGTGGTGCTTTTTTTGTTGTTTTTTTCTCCTTTTTATTCTAAGGCTTGATAGTCAACTGCTCAGGTCAAGGATTGCAAAAGCTGGGTCCAACCTTGCCCTGTGATGCTGATACTCAGACTCTGATTCTGGACAAAAATCAGATAATTAAATTGGAGCACTTGGAAAAATGCAGGAATCTGATGCAGGTCAGTATTGCTTGATTTGAAATTGTTATGAAATAATGGTGCTATGATGTTAGCATCTTCTGCCTTCAGGCAATATTATGTTATTGAAGTAAGCTAGCAGTTACTGTCTTCACAGGAAAATAAATGATGGCTGGCTAAAGTAGAAAGCTTTGCTTTCAGTGGAGGTCTGCAGCTGATAGTGGAGGGGGCTGTAACTAAAAATGAGCTAAATAAATCCTAATGGGGGAGGGACATGGTAAGAACACTTAGAAAAGTCACTGATAACTCAAATTTTGATACTTCTTAGCTTTTGAGTACATGAGCTTTGTAATCTTAAAAATAACTTTGTATTATCACTTAAAGTCCTTCTGGATAGACTCGAAGCTGCCTGATAACTTTTACAGACCAGCTTAGGCTGAGTTGGCAGAGGTGGGGTTTGTTGCTACAACAAACCTTCACCACACTGCCAGCTTGGTGATCATGTTACTGAAGTGTGTGTCTAGTCAGGTTTTACCCTTTAAAAAGTTTGTGGTTTACAGTCCTATTAGCACAGGACCTGTTTGAGAATTGTGTGAAATACATTTTATCCTCTGCCATATTGACAGTAAGTGCAATTTTACACCAGGAATGGGGCAACAATTTGCACAATGAATTGGCAATTCTGATATTACAACCTTATTTTCATATGACACAACTCCTCATTCTTTTTCCTTTATTTAGCTGTTGCTAGGAGAAATTCCTCTTAAGTTTGTGGAGTGAGCTGTGAGGACTCATGTTCTTTGAACAGTAATTTATTTCCTGGCTCTTGCAGGTTTTTTGTCTGTGTCATTTACTTGAAAATGAAATCCGTAGATTGAACAAGTATCTGTTGGAGTAGATTTTTAACTATTAGAAGATCTTACTCTGTCTGCATAGTTAAAATTGTTTCTTTTGTGTGTCCATCTGCAGCTCTCTGTAGCCAACAACCGTTTGGTGCGAATGATGGGTGTGGCAAAACTGACCAAGCTCCGAGTGCTCAACTTGCCTCATAATAGTATTGGGTACGTGGAAGGGCTGAAGGATTTGGTGCACCTGGAATGGCTGAATTTGGCAGGAAATAACATTAAGGTGAAGTATTTAGTCTGTTGCATTTACCAGAATGTTGTGTTATGGAAATTTGGAAAATGCTGCAAAGAAATCTGAATATGCTTTGATTGGAACAATGTTAATATTTTATGTCTACTGGCTTATGAAATAGAAGATGGCAGCTTTTGGAATTGAGTTGTCTAGGAAAAAATAAAAGGTTTGATATCAAAATGAAATGAAAGTAAGGAAGTAGTCTCCAAAATTCTTGTCTTTAAAATACAACTGTATTAAAACATGGTTTTTATTTTGTGTTACTTAGCTAGTGGGCTTTTTTTCTTTCAAAAGAATTTATAATTATTGATACCTGGTTTTATTTAGTAGCTAAAAAGGGTTACTGTGAGTAACTGATTTCTTTATTTTTATAGGCCATCGAACAAATCAATTCCTGTCTGTCTCTTCAGCATCTTGATCTGTCAGACAATAACATAGCTCAATTAGGGGATCTCTCCAAGCTTACCTCACTGAAGGTAGATGTTCCGTCTCTGTTTTTAATGCATTCTAAACACAAAGAAATTGGCTTTGAAAATTGCTGCCCTTAGACATTCACTCTTCGAACACTAGCTCTTAGAGCATTTTAATTCATTAACTGTAATTTCTAGAGGGAAGCCTGTGAATATTTTCTTCCTTGTTTTGAAGTTGGAGGAGCTGAAGCAGTGATTTTTCTATGAATGAATCAAAACAAAACATACTTCTAACTCTTCCAACATGCACACTGTAGAGAAAAACGTTTCCAAATACTTTTTTTGGTAACTGTGACCAGAAAGTCTTGCTTATCCTTCTTTTGCAATATGTTTTTGTCAGGTGATGCCTGAAAAAGAAATCCGTGGGTTTTGATCAAGCATTCATTTCATCATGTGTTCATCATGTGTTTTTATTTTATAGACTCTGTTGCTACATGGAAATATTATAACTTCACTTCGCACTGCCCCTGCTTGCCTACCTCAGAGTTTGACTGTTTTCTCTTTGGCAGAAAATGAAATCAGAGACTTAAATGAGGTAAGATATAGAAGATAGATCACCTTGTCTTTAGGTAGACTGAAGGAAGGAAGTTGAACAATTTTTTGAGGTTGTAACTGAAAATGGCCTCTCTTCTTTGAAACAACCCAACTTGTAATAGTTTAATTGTTTATATGTAATAACCGTATTTGCATTAGCTGCACAAGCTAGTGGTGTCTTTTAAAATTTAGTCTGGAATGAAATTTGCCTTTTTTCTGTTGTTTTTGTTATTCAAGGATGTAACTTTTAGGCCCTACCTTTTCTAGTTGTCTGCAAGTTGAAAGCTGAGCTGACTAAATGCTGCAGAGAACTTCTGCAGCTGCTGGGATTAGAACAGGGGTTTGAATTGCACTTGTTGCCACTGACCTATTTTTCAAACTGTGTAAGAGAAACAAATAATCTGCCTGTGACTTTTGTCTTTATTGTTTTGTTTGTTTGGTTTATTTTAAGTAGCAGCCAAAACTCTTGGTTGGGATTTCATGTCGGAAGAAAATTTTTTGATAATAATTTCTCTTCAAAACAGGGCAGGGTTCTCCAGCTTCTTGGCTTGCCCCCTTTTTTTTTTTTTTTTTTCCCTTTGTTTGTTTTCAAAATCAACAGCTGTTGTAGTAAAGTTGTTTGATACTACACCTTTCTATACATAAAGCCCCATTCCCAAATTTTAAGAGAAGGTAATACTTTCCAAGGACTAATAGCATATACAGGAGAATCATTGGGAAATGGCAGTAGCTGATAGAAGGTCCTTTGTAGCCCTTTGTGTTCAAAAATCTAATGTGATTTTTGATTTGTCATTCTGTTGTTTTATACAAGCTGTCCAGCTGTAGTTAGGAGAAGTGTGAAATGTTTTTCTTAGTTAACAAATGTATTTTGTTTTCTCAAGGTTTCTTTCCTGGCCTCTCTTCACCACTTGGAACAGCTGTCAATTATGAACAATCCTTGTGTGATGGCCACACCTTCTGTCCCTGGCTTTGACTACAGGCCTTATATTGTCAGCTGGTGTCTTAACCTTAAAGTTCTTGATGGATATGTGATTTCTCAGAAGGAAAGGTGACATAATAGTATTATTAAATCTCTAAAATTATTACATCAAGTTTGGCTAAGCTAAAATTGCTATAGCTAAAGTTTTCATCTGTTACACTGCAATTATTATTTAGTTAGCTTACAAGTACGAAGTTAAGCTTTTGTTTAGTTGTTCAAATCACAGAAGCACTTCTACAAAGCAAAACTGTGGTAGCAGTTGATCAGTGGTCTGGTATCCTTTCTTTACAGCCTCTTTGACTTTGCAGAATGTGACAATCAGCAGGAGTTAAAGCTGTTGTCTTAGGGGAAGCTTAAACTTGCCCTTATATAAGCATGATTTATGTTTTCATTTCTAGATTTGGCTTTTTTTTGTTATCAATTAGTTAAATATTATTTTGCTCAAATCACTTGTAACTGTATCACTGTGCTCATTATATCACTGTGATATCTGCATGACAAAGTTCTTGACATCAGTCCAAGCATAAATATTATACAGTATAAGCACATTCCAGTCCAGGACACTAACATAGCCTAGGACACTAATGTCCTTTTTACCCTGTTATTAAAATAAAAGGGTGCCCTTCTTTTGGTCAGAGGTGAACCAATTCTATTTCTACTTTCCAGGAAAGTTGCCAGTTGGAATTCTAGACTTCTTTTTCATTACTAATGGGATGATCTGTATTAACTATATTATTACATGTAGATGTATTAAATAATCTCATGCAGAAATTAATTTGAAAAGCAAACCTGTTGAATACTTCTTAGCAATATGTGCTTTCTGTCTGTTTTGCATGTTTTTGTGAACTTCTCTATTTCTGTGAAAGCTTTGCTGATAAGTTAATTGAGACAAATGTGCTTTCAGTGCTCAAAACTGCACACAAAGCAGAGACTGCAGAGTTTTGGACAAGTGGGTTTGTTTTTTTTTTGTTTCATTGATGCTTAAGTGAATTAGTACATTATTCATTGTTCTGATAATGACATTGCCAGTTTCCCTGGGCATTGCACATGTTCCAAGTCTTCCTTAGATTTGTAGATTAGCTCTTCAGTACTCGCTAGAAGAGCTGTAGTGAAAAGAGTTACTGTTTCTGTGCTGTTTATTAAAGGTGCCATTTATTAAACCATTTTCCCCCTTCCTAACAGCTTGAAAGCAGAATGGCTCTACAGTCAAGGGAAAGGAAGGTCATTTCGACCTGGGCAGCATGTTCAGCTAGTTCAGTACTTGGCTACTGTTTGTCCTCTCACATCTGCATATGGACTCCAGACTGAAGAGGATGCCAAACTGGAAAAAATACTGAGTAAGCAAAGGTGAGAACCTAGTTTCTTTCTTAGAGAATGTAATTGAGAACATAATTATATATCTGATGTGTTAGATGTAGTAAGATTTCATTTTAAGTATTTCAAAGTAACAGTGAGGGCTGGAGATGCAAAGTGCCATGAAAGTACAGGATGTGTCCTAGATGGGAATGAGAGGCAAGGCAGCAGCAGCAGGAGTGTTTTCATGCTTTCTGGGCCATCTAGGGGAAAATTCCTTTGTATTTTTCAGTCTGTGCTTTGTAGGACACTGAAAGTAATTCGTGTTAGAACTGTGATTAAAATAAACAAACTATGAACTGGGATTTTTTTTTTATTGCCACACAAAAAAATTATGAAAACCTCAAAAAGGAGCTTAGCTTTTGTTCTAATTGTAAATTAGGACTGTTGTGGTACACTGGTGTTTTAGCCACTTTTTTATTGTTGAGATGTTCTTTCTTTGTTTTAAAGTTAGTTGTCCTTTGGGGGGCACTGTTCCCAGTGATGCATTTGTCCATCTGTATCTGGCATCTGAGGTCTGTCAGCAGAGGCCTCTGGAGAGCCTGCTGGTTCTGGTAGCTGTGTTGCTAAGGTCTGTGCAAATAGATGAGTAGAGTTATCATGGTGAGTTTCTTGTCCATGTAAAGGTGAGCTCATTTTGGTTAGAAGCCAGAAAACAAAGCAATACAGGTTGTTCTATTCCCCAGGACCTCTTGATAAACTTTTTCTTGCAGAAAGAGCAGAAAATTCAGCTCCCAGGAGCAGGCTACCTAAGTGGCATAGTGTGGTTAAAAAGCTGAGCAACAAAAGTGTTGTAGTTAGCAGAAGGGTGTCTCATCAAAAGGGCCAGAAACTTGGGAGCATCTGGAAGGAGTTATTTCCCACTTTGCAAGTGTAGATTGATCTCCAGGAGGAGATGATGGAAATGTTTTAGCTATTTCTGAGGAGAAGGTGCAGTCAAGGCATCTTGACCTTGGAATCTCTAGCTAAGTGCTCTAGCATTCACGTGTTTCTGGGGAAAATAAAGGAAGTTGTTCTGCTAAAGATAACTCTTCCAAAATTAAAAAAACCCTCAAAAACCAAGCCAAAAAAGCCCTAGGAGAAAAAGCAGTTCCCCCAAATCCTCACCTGTATTATATATGCACATGCGTGTATTATTTTTAGGACAGTTTGACTGTCCTCTGTCTCCTGAGCTTCTAATTTAGCTGGGCTGAAACAACCTGTGTGTTCCCTGAGTTTGTAAAGGATGATTTTTTTTGTGTGTGTGTTTGTTTGTTTGTTTTTGTTTTGTTTTGGGTTTTTGTTTGTTTTTGTGGCAATATTTGTTGATTAGTACTAGGATTTCGGGCTGTTAGTAACTGGAGCACCTATTTCTTGATTCATTCACTTTGAAATGTAAAAGATACTCCCACCATTTCTCAAACTCCTCTATTCCTACACACATAATGTATTCCACTTCTGAAACTTAAAATATTTGCAGGCCTTCTTTGTGTGTAGAAATACCTCATGGTTTTCAGTTTATAGTCAGAATTGCATGTTGGGCTTTTTCTCGTTTTTATTTGGTTGGTTTTTGGGCTTTTTTGGGGGTTTTTTGTTTGTTTGGTGGGTTTTGTTTTGGGGTTTTTTTTAGCATGTAATGAAGAAAGGGGCTGAAGGAAGGGGAGCAGGAAAAGACTGCAATTTCCTACTTCATGAGTAGTCCTGGTAGTGTCTTGTGTTTGTAGGAGTCTGCATAACACGCCTCTCCTTTAGCATGTTTTGATCATGAATGTTTCTTTTGAAATAGTTCATAGTTTCTTTTAGATGTTTTCTGTACAAAAGAAAGTTTAAATAAAGCACAAAATCTATTTTTGGCACTCTGTGCTTAGACTCCACCAGAGGCAGTTGATGCATGAAAACCAAAATGAGGAACCACGTACATTTTCTGCTCCCAGTAAAACAGTGCCAGTTGCTCATGAACACAGTGCCCTGGCCCAGCCATCACAGATGGTTCTTGAGAAGGGTAAGTAGCTTATCTACTCCTGTGGAAATAAATACTTTTCTTTTGAGCATAAGTAACTTTATGGAAGGAATTTCAGAACAAGGCCCTGTTATTATTTTATTTTATTGATCTTCTATTTTCTCAACTGAAGTTGTACATTGTTTCTAAAAAACATCCAGTCCATGCTTATTTGCGTCTTGAAATGCTAGTAGGCTGGTTAGGCAAAAAACCCAATCCAACAAAATAAGAGTTGCTACCTTGACTTTAGCATTTTATACAAGTTCATTCTCCAAGGAAGTGCAGTTTGCCATTTCTTGTACCCAGTGTTTGCCAAGTTTGGATGTTACTGTGGTAAATATAGTCCTGATACAGAAATAATGCTCATTGTTACTAACATGTTAGATCATCTTGCCCACCCAGGTGCTAACTGTCAAAACCAAACTGGGAATCCCTATGAATTAAACAAACTATTAATATTACTGAAATACTCTAACACTATAATGTGTCTTTCTGCCTATCTAGAACCTGTTATCCAGAGAAATTCTTGGGTTGGACCAAGTGCAAACAATGATCATTCCTATGCAGTAAAGAACACTTTTCTTCATGAAAGAAGCTTTCCCAAGGAGCTACACCTCGAAGATGTACAGACAGATGAAGACAAACTAAACAGCAGCCTTTTATCCTCAGAGTCTACTTTCATGCCAGTTGCTTCAGGATTGTCTCCAGTGTCTCCTGCTTCAGACCTGAAGCTACATGGAATCAATTTGAGCCTTGAAGATGATGATGATACAGTGATTGAAGGTGTGAGAGGTATTAATCATAGGGAAACAACTAAAAAGCAAGAAGCTTCGTCTGTTACAGGAGAGCACTCCAATAGAGCAACAGGAAGTGTGGAAACACAAGAGAATATCAAAGAAATCCTGCAGGTGCCTGCTCCTGATCAGGTAAGAGCTGGCCTGGCTGCTTGGACTGGCAACTATTTGGGGTCCTCTGAAGGCCAAGTTCGGCACAGTCACCCCAGCACCTTGCTAGGTGCTGAATTAGGAGTAAAAATTCTTTGTCCTGACCAGATGACAGAAGAAAGGTCTGGTTCACTGGCTGGGCAAGGTGCAGCACCATCTGATCGAGGTGCAGCTGAACTGCAAAGGATGACTGAAGCAGCTACCAAGCTCCAAGCTTCCTGGAGAGGGTTTTACACCAGGAACCACCATCCTCAAGCCAAGGAAGTGCGGAATGAAATTCGCCTACACAGAATGCAGCAGCACATCATTTATTTAACAGCTGAAATAGAAAAGTAAGTTAAGGTCATGCTGTGTATTTGCAAGTCTGTCTGAATATAACCATCATTCCAGAGTATTTCAGAACAGATATAGATGATATAACTACTCACAGTAAAACCTAGCATCAGAAACATAAAACTGATTACATTACAGGATCACTTCCTGTAAGGTAAGCACAGTTTTGCACATAGCTATTCATCCTCTCAAAGTGCCTTCTATAAGTGGATTGGGTTAGAACACATTTTTCTGTTCCTATTTTAGCAGGACTTGCATATTTCAAAATAGAAATTGCTGAGTGGGATTTTTTTTTTATTTGTCTCCTCACAATTAGAGTCTATAAATCAAGTGTCCATACTGGGAGTCATTATTCTATTGCTGGTAAAAAGAAGAATTTCCTCTACCTTGTACGATAGAATTTTAAAATGTGACTCTATGTTTGGTTCTGTTTTAATTTTTGGTCCTGTGAATTCATGTTTGGAGAAGATCATGGTCGAAATTCCTCAATTTGTAAGCCAAAAATTCTGGATTGACTTAATATCTTTCTGGATCAGCCTGGATCAGTCAGTTTGATATGCTCTTTTTCTTCACTCTCACAAGTGACAAAAGCTCTGTAAATCAAGTTGAGTGCTCAGTGAACCTTTAGAAACTCCCAATGCTTACACATCATACTCCATCCATATATCAGTGGGACAGCATAATTTGAAATGAAGAAGTACTCTTTGGTGTGTGGGTGGCTGATAGTTGTGCAGGAAAAAATAAGAGCTTGGGTTCAATTTACAAAAAGACACATTCTTACTGAGCCAACAAATGTGCTGCAGTAAAAGGAAGCAGAATTTAAATGTAACTGAAAAAGAAACTTGAAGTCAGCAGCTGGGTATTTATGGCAAGCCAGACTGCAGTAATTTCTTAATGTTAGGCTCTGTTGTATCTTTGAAAAGTGCTGTTATATAAGTAGGCATTTTTACGTATTCTTGTTGCTCTTGTTACCCAAATGTTGCTTATTTAAGCTGCATAAATTTTGGATGTGTGTTCTTGCAGACTGAGGAAAGAAAGAGAGGAAGATGAAATGCAAAGGCTTGTACAGGAGGAAGCTATCAAATTTCTTTGGAACCAGGTAAGTAATTTTAGTCCTCTTGTTTTTCTGCTTAAATGTGAATTTGGAATTCGAATTTGAATCTGCCTATATGTGAATTAGCATTATTTCTTACTGTAGATCCTGAAGAGACAGTCAATATGGTTCAGTTTTTCCAATGATTTGAGTGGTTTAATAGAGTCTTACTACTGTGTTGTCTGCTATACTGATTTGGTGGGGGGAAATAACCCTCAGAACATTAGTGCAAGAACACTGGTTTTACTACTAAAGACTAAATAGTGGCCTGGTGTGAGAAGGAAGACAAAATGCAAGACAAGCTAAATTATCATAAGCAGGACTGTGAAGAATTATGTGACTGGTAAATGCCCATGGCAAATGAAATGGTATCAAGCTGCGTTGCTTGTGAGCAACTCATTTTTGAGGCAGGAAAGTTGTTAATACACCTTTTAATAAGTTCTTCTTCCAACAATAAGGTTGTTTTCTTAAAAATGGATAAATCCTTTCTGGCTTTAAGAACAGATTGCTTTTTTTTTGGGGTATTTGAATTGGGAGCTTGTGTGTTCTGTCAGTGTTTGACATGTAGGTTTAAAAGCCATGATTTCAAGTGAGAAGAAAAAAATTTCCCTAATAATATAGGAAACCTTTTGTTTGTCACTTGGTCTTGGATTTTATACTAGAGCTTGGTTGCTGAATGCAAGAAATCCACTCGAAATCAAAATACATTTATCTGCATTTCATAATAAATTTTTCTCTGTACAGGTTAAATCCCTTCAACAATGGCAGCTTTCAGTGATGCAGAATTTAGGTGGTGCTGGGATCCCTTCAGCCAATACTTTATGTTTATCCAAACCACCTCTTCAGTCATCCACAGTGGAGCAAGAAACCCCACCAGCTGCTAGTTCTGCTTTGTTAGCTCCAGCTAGTGAGGATGATCTTCAGGAAAAGTCTTCGTTGCAGTTCCCAGATTCTGGCTTTCATTCTTCTGCAGCTGATCAGACTCGTGCCAGTGAACTGTGCAGCTCTGCAAAGAGCTTAGCTGAAGGAAGTGAGAGCTCCCTTTCAATGGAAACCATCAAACAATATGGCAATTGTGTTTCAGCATGTTGTTCAGATGGAGAGGATGGCCCTGGGGAGGGTGGGCAAAGTAAAGAGAGCTCTAGTAATGCGCAGGACAACAGACTGATAGAACAGTATTTAAAATCTGTTCAGCAGCTGGAAGAGGCTGATGAAGACACAGATTGCAATGAGGAAATGGAGGGCAGCTGTCTACAAGTGTCTGTGTCAGCAGAAAGCCAAGATTCTTCCTCTGACACTGTCTCTGTAGAGCTCCCTCAAGACACATCTTCCCCTGTCCGAGGTGAAATCTGCCAGATACCACCAGAAAGCTACAAACTGAATTCAGGAATAGTAGAAGGGAAGCAAACAGACTGTGATTCTTCGTTTCAGATGCTGCATGTTGGGATAGCTGTATAATAGGATCGTTTCCACAAAAGACTAGGGATTCCATTTCACTTTCTCTTTCTTCTTCCTGTTTATACAAAACTTACTTTTCATGTGTGCTGTTTCAGATTCTGACTCATGTTATGAATTTATGTTGTAATTACTATTTTATTGATGTTGCTGAGGATGGATACTAACTGTGCTAACCTGAAATCAGCAAAGTTCTCAGTGACAATCATTATGCACTTTATTTTCAAACATAAAACTGGTATCCTAATAACTGGCCTCCATTAAATTAATTCTGAAGATTGGTGGGTGGATGGTGGTGGTGGTAGTGTTTGCTGTAAATTCACTTTGGTGAATGTGTTAGTAAGTATTTGTTTGTTTTTTTCCTGCAAAGAAAGATTAAATTCTTATTTTGCAAAGAGAAGAAAACAATATGGGAAGAAATTGAGTCAATACAGGTAGTATATCCTGTCATAGGCAGGATACAGCCTCCTGAGAAAGATGAAAAGTTGCTTTTCAGACTTCTTTTGACTGAAACAAGAGTAACTTGGTCAGTGTATCAAAGATGCATTCCAGAAAACCAGTGTCCAAGTCAGTGACTTTTTTGTAAATAACTTGAAGCTGCTGGCAAGGAATTAGATCATTTACATACACACTGAAACAAGGACTTACAGGAGAGAGACCTCAGGGAGCTTCAAACAAGCTTTGACCTTTGTTTGCCCTGGGGTTGAATTTCCCTGCCTTCTCAGGTAAGACTCAAAATGGAACCAGTAGCAACCAGGACTAAGGAAGAATTGCAGAAGGGCATATGATTTGGGAACATCATTTCCAGGACTGCCCTCTGGGTTACAGCAGCAGATTTGGTGGTGTATGTTTTGCTCCACTAGGATGCTAATGTCCATGTGGGATTTGGATTTGAGTGGCTTTCAGGACATCAGTGAGTTTGATGGATCACAACTACTTCTATCTACAGGTATAAATACTAAAAGCAAATGCCATGACTTAACTATTTCCTGATATCTCTGTTGGGTTTTTTGGTTGTTTTTTTCCCCCCAGTATATCCACTAGTTGACATTTTAATTAAATGTGGATAAAAGGTTGTATTTCTTCCCTGTTAGTAAATATGCTGAGATACCTAGGCTATGCTTTCCACTTACAAACCCTGCTGCTTTCCCAGTGTTTATCTTACCCAGCCATTGCTGTGTTGGGTTTTTCAATGGAAAACAGTCAGGTATCTTAGTATACTTCAACAGTGACAAGGGAATCCTGTTTTGCCATGTGATTTGTGATAATAGTGAAATAAAAGTTGATGTTGTGATTTACAGGGGTCAGTTGCATTTTGCAACATGTACTGGAAGCCCAGTGTTGCAGTAGCTTGCTAATGTTTACTTCTCAGTTACAAAGACACATGCTTATGGTAATTCTCTGGATCCACAGTTAACTTCTGATGCTATGGTGTCACTAAAACCAACTAACACTCTTTTAAAAGGACTCTTATGGCCACGTTACCATGTAAAATAATTTAGTTTTTGTGAAAGCTTTGGTGCATGTCTGCTTTTGGTTCCAAGCTGAAATTTGCCACTACTCAGGAGTTTGGTATGAGGCTAGTATCTGCTTGAGGCATCAAAATATCCTTTATTTAGAACATAAATGGTGTTTTGGACTTGTACCAGCCATCTTCCCAGTGGTGAAGTTCACCTTGGAAGAATAAAGCTTGCCTCTGTGTATAGAGTAGCCATCATCTCTTTTTCTCCCATCCCACAAAAGTTCTAGGGCACCAACTTCTCCAAAGAGCTGTCTCTGCAGTCAGGCTGACCTTTGACTGTGCCTTGCATATGTGGGAGCATTAAAGAAAACCCAGAACAGCAGAGGTGGTAGGTTCTTAATGTGCTGTCTTTCTAGCTGAATGTAGTCACAGCGCATTGGTAGCATGACCATATTCATAATTAGATCTTGGAGCACAGTTGTGCTTGGGTATTGAAAATGGTACAGGTGCATTAGTGTATCACAGTGCCTGATTACCTGGGCAAAGCAGTGTGGAGTCCACAGGATCATAGCCTTGTCCTCTGAAGGTGCTGAACTTGGCTTTAAATCTGCCATGCCTGGGGATCTGCAGTTCATAGGACTTAGCTCTTTGAATGCCAATATGTTATATAAAACCCCAAATGTCAAATTGCATATTGAGAGAGGAATTATTTCAGTGTTTGAAGCAGCTCTGGATCTTGCACTCTGGAGGCAGTGGCCAGGTCTAAGTTCTCTTCCATGGCAGAGTGCTTTATTGCAAGACCTGGAAGAAACTAGACCACTGCCTGGATAACAATGTTTCTCTTACTGGAGACACTAAGGGAGTGCATGTATTTTTCTGTTTTGGATTGTCCCTTTTGCTGCACAGTTAGAGGTGAAACTTTTGGAGTTGTCAGAGGGGGAAAACTTGGTGCAAGTAAATTTTTTTATGGAAGCCCTAGATGTTTCTTGATATTTCCTTTTGTTATTAGAACTTGCAAGCACAAAGACAAGACAACTTGCTTTAACTAATGCTGAGGTCAGCTGTTGTCCTTATTAATGTGTAACCTGTGTATACAAAAATGGTTTTATGCAGGTACAGCGAAGCATGTACCGACAAATATTCAGCTTTATCTTACTTTTTCTTGGGAAACAGTGAAATACTAGAAAATGTTTTTCTAATGTTCTGAAAAGTATCTTGCATGTGTAGAAGATGAGTTGCCTAAATATAGAGAAATCAAAGAATGGTGAAGTTTTTGGATTAGTTTTTACAGGGTTAAATGTAATTAGTTTGTATATACAGAAAATATTTTCATCCCGACCATTAAAATACCTACAGGGAAAGACATAATGAGGGATACAGTGGAAAAATAAGGAGTAAAACTGAATGTATACTTAAAATTGTCTTCTTTCAGCCCTGTTTTGAACTCTCAAAAAATCATGATGTGGAAGTATCATAGTTTAATACATGGCTTAGCATTTACTCATCTTTGTTTAAGTAAGTTTCCTTAATCTAGGTGTGCAATATTCTTTTAGCTGGATAGGGATGCACAGTTTTTCTTTGGAGGTGATGGAAATTTCATAAAGAAATTGGAAGGCCTAAAATACATCTGAAACTTTCCTGTTTTAATATTGTATTCTTTCCTTTTGAAAGGCTTCATGATCAGCAGAAGAATGTACTTTGTAGAAGAAAAGCTTATCTCTTGTGTTTTGTCCTGGGCTGATCCTCCAGTGTTAGTGGGAGAGATCACTTGGTTATTTGCCAGGTGATGTTGCCAGCTCTGCTGTGAGTACAGTTGAAATGCTTCTTTAATTTGCTTCAGAAAAATCAGATAAATATAGCTTAGGCTATTTGAACTGCACCACACAAGTAGTTTTGCCCCAGATGAGGTAGCTGGCACATGAAAGCCTGTTTTCAGCTAGTCTGTGGTAGAAATGACTCTTTTTCCTCTTTTTCTGAAGGCTGGGACAAGTAGTTCTATATACCATAAAGCAAGAAGACATTAAGACTGCAAATTTTATTTTGCTGCTTCTAAACCACAAATGTCCTTCAGCAAATACTTGAGAAAATCCTTGCTAAACTAAATTGCAGAAGCCTAACAGTTGTTGATAGTTAAGTTTCTTAAACAACCATAGATTCCACTATTTGCATGCATCAGTTTAAATAATGCACTTAGCAGCCAGTCTCTATATTAAAAAGTTGGGTTTTTTCTGAATAATGTTTATATTTGAGCTTGCAAAACTGTTCCTGTTTTTTTTAATGAATTTGTATATATTGTCTGAAGAATTCCAATTTTTGTTTCTACTTGTAGCAGGTTATCTGATGAACAAAAATGGAATATATGTTCCTTTGAGATTACCTGGGTAATTTTTACTGCACTTGATGTTCTTGTGTGTCTCACATAGATACACTTTTTCCTGAGAGGATAAAATTGTAGCAGTTAGGGGAAACTGACTAAATGACAAAAAACCGTAAAAACCGGTCAGTTACCTGCTAGTAGAACAGACACTTCCTTTTTGTTTTTCCTCTCCTGTTGTATTAACTTTCCCCCCTTCCCCCTTGAGGACGTGCCACCCAAATGAGTATGCATCAAGTATTCATAAAGTCTTTCAAAATGTCTTCTTTTAATAGTTACACTTCTTTTTTTCCCAGATTAGCTTTCTAGGACAAGTTACTGAGAAACACTTGCTTTCTATATGCTTACCAAAAAGTTGGTCTGTCTATTTTTAAATGTTTTCTTTGTCAGTAATGGAAAAAGCACAGGATCCCTTTCTTGCAAGAACATAAACCAGTATTTATCAGGAAAGGTGCTTTATCTCTTGAAAAGTGCCATGCCAAATTTTATTGTGCAAGAGCTCTCAGTAAGAATCTTTTTCTGGCTTCATTACGTTTATAAGTATATGGGCCAAATTTATTTGTAGCATAATTCTACTGAATTAATTTTTTTGAGACTTCACAGTGGTATTCTACCTCTAAACTAGAATTTGAGAAGAAAAGAACAATTGGGTACTGGTTTGTCTCTCTATTTCTTGCTGTTTTCTGTGAAGAATGGTGGGTGGTTAAATTGGTACAGTTCATATATTTTCTATAAGTGTTTAAATTTTGAATTTATTGTTTAAGTATTTTGTTTGTATTGCTGAGTTTTGAATTTTAAATAAATGATTTGTACATTTATTGAAAATTTTAAGGTGTACCTTATATTGACTTTTATGGCTATAGTCATAATCTTACAATTGGAGAGCTCTTCTGGACATGGGAAGCTCAGGGATATAAAGCAAGCAATGACAAGATAAGCATTGGCATTCTTTCCTCGGAACAGCTGAGACATCTGATGGCCACTGTTCCAGTGCCTAGGACAGTAAGAGTGTAGTAGGGTACATGAAATGAGTTCACCAACAGCTCTGAATTTGGTCTGTGTGATTTGCAGCCCTTTGGTTCCAGTGCTGGTCCTCTTTCGTGTTCTTAATTACCTGCTGTGTTTGAATTCAAAGATGTGGCAGTATTCTGTACAGAGTTTTCTAGAGAGAGAATTAGGAAACACAATAGCAATGTGTGGTGTTGCCTCTCTTGGTTTGGTCAGATACCTGCTCTCTTCTTAAACAAATGAAGGCTAATTAAACATCTTTTAGGCTTTAACAAAAATAAATAGTTGAGGAGTTCAGATATACATGAAAGTCATGTTTCACTGCAACACAATTGTCTGAAAGGTAAAAAAAAATACAACAATAACAAAACTGAAACAACATAGCTAACTTCATTTTCACTCAACTTGTAACACGTGGAGGTTTGTAGACATTTTAAACTCTTTACTATGTGTTTCTACTTCATGACACCAAAGAAAAGATTTTTTTTAAGTGGGACTTTTCTATATTTACTGTTAGGGTGGTGAGGCACTGGAACAGATTGTCCAGAGAAATGAATACCCCACCCCTGGAAGTGTTCAAGGCCAGGTTGGATGGGGCATTGAGCAATCTGGTCTGGTTTCTGCCATGGGCAGGAATGCCCCTGCCCATGGTAAGGGCGTGGGAGCTAGGTGATCTTTAAGCTCTCTTCCACCTCATTCTAGGACTCTATTTAAAAAACAAGAATAGGCACAGCTAAAGTAACTCCACTTCAGGTCTGAAAAGAGAAGAGCAGTGTCCTTTTCTTTTAAAGGCCTTAAAGCTGTACTAGTAAGTTTTAAATGCTGTGTGTTGTAGAGATAGTCACCATAGCACTTCAGGGACTCAGGTTGAAGTTCGCTCTTGTCCCTGACTTTTATTTAGATTTGTAATAAGATCAGACCTTAAAATCTTTGGCTAGATTTGGAAAATAAAGGGATGACTAGTGGGTGGGCCCATTTTGATCAAATGGAAATAGTTACTTTTAATTTTATGGGTTGAAATCCTTATCTATGCTAGGAGCACCCAGCCCACTCATTGGTAGGGTGGTGTGAGAAGCAGGAAAGCCCTTGGCTCTGTAAGCACTGCTCAGCAGTAGCTAAAACTGCCTTATGTTCCCACACTGTTTCTAGCACAGTCAAACACAGCCCTACCATAGCCACTGTGAAGAAAATTACCTCCATTCCATCCACAACCAGTATAGCTGCTCCTTCTGATGTGTGCAAGATGATATTCACCAAGGGAAGGAATATCAGAAAATTGTGCTCAGGATGCCCAAATCAAACAAGTTGCCTCTGACTTCTAAGATGCTTTAAACTGTGAAAATTGGAAGCCCGTGATCACAAAGAATGCTCTGGAAAATGTAAAATCTGGCACATTGTGTTTAAAGTGCTCATGTGTTGGACTGAAAGCCATAAACCATTAGAAAAGCCTAAACAATTCTCATACAATGTACTGAGCAGTCTAGCAGTCAGAGATGTTTGCTTAGCATTGTGCTAAACTGCATTCAAGCAGCAGCCTTTGGGAAATCTCTTCCTATCCATTGTTACACCAGCTGAAGTTATGCAGTCCCCTGAGCATTAGCAGCATGTTTTGTGGTGTGGGAAGTGCATGGAAGGTGTGCTGAGCAGCTTACTGCTGCTTATGCCTTAGAGTCTATGGGACCTGGGGAGAAACAGGAGACACTGAGAAACTCCACAACCAGGATTCACTTTTCTTCTTTCCAACAGCAGTTCCTACAGCCCCTTCAACCTGAAGTTTGGGGCAAATGCATGTGGCATTGGAGCCCATGTTTCCCAGACTGGCTCTTCAGCTGTCTTGTACTGTTGAGCTCTCCAGGATAGAGATGCACTTGTCCTCTCCTCATTGCAGCTTGCTCATTCCCAGGCTCAGTAGCTTTACAGCAGATTGGCTTCCCTGTTGGTCTCTGATTCTTTGGCTTTACTCACAGATGAACTAAGTATTATTTTACTAGTAGGACAGATAAGCTGCCTTTATCTCTCCTGCTTTCTCATATTCCTAGCTGCTTGATGCTTTCCTTCTTTTGGTGTAGCAGTGTCAGTGTTAAACTGGCAGAATGTATTCTGGGCAGCCCGTGGCTGAGATGGCTGTGGCCATGTCCATTGTCTGGTGGAGAAGTAGAAAAAAAGACCAGGAAGAGTTTCTCTTAGTCCCAAAGGTAAGCAGAGCCACCTGGAAGAAATGGAAGCCTGTGTTCCTTCCTGCCTGTCCCTGGGAGTGGGAATGCAGCACAGCTGCTTGGGGCAGGTTCATGGAAAGGCTGATAGCTATAGGAAATCTTCTCTGTAACCTTTTAGAAAAGGACTTGAGGAAGCTGCAAGATGATTCTTCTAACAAAAGCGTTATCCCTTTAAAGCATTAGATGAGGTGAAAACCATCTGAACGGCACCAGGTCAGCAAGAGTTTTTCCAACAGTTAAATTTCAGTTCTGCCTGAAACCAGGGGCCATGCTGAACTCGTGTGCAAGGTGAGAGTGAAACTTGCTGTTCTAAGGACTGCAGAAGTACAAGACCTGGATGATTGTGGAAGGGAAAAAAGATTGGAGAAGTGATACAAGGGTAATGTAGCAAAAGGAGAGAGATCAAAGGTGTCTATAGAAAGGGAACAGTGTGGGTTGGGCTCTTTGCAGACTGTCCAATGCATTGTTTGTTAAATCTCACCATACTTCAGCACAAAAGTGTGTTTTAATTTGCCTCAGGGCAAACCAAAACATTCCTCAACACTTGCCTATAATCAAGAATGGGTTCAGTAGTCCCATATATATTATGAAGAATACTCTGTTTTATTGATGAATTTTTGTAGATGAGAGAGAGAAGAGCAATGGGGCCAAGGGCCCAGCATAACTTCATCTTACTGCATATACTTCTGAAAAAAAAAAAAGGAAATCTGATTATTTTTCATTATCCAGTTTTCTGTGCTCAAATCAAAATAACTGGCAAGTGTTTCTGGTGTGATAAACAAGGAGGGATGTAAGGTGAGCAACAGCTGCTTAAGCTGTACTTCTTTTGGCACTAATGACATTTAGATGTTGCATGGTGATGAGGTGGAACAGACCTCACTAATGCCATTGACTCTCAAATAACCCGAACAGCCTTTTATATGGGGCTTTTTGTAGAGCATGGGGGCAAACACAGAGTAATTGTTTTCTGGCCTCTGTGCAAAAGGACTTACCATGTTAGAGATTAGAAAGGCATTTTTAATTCATTATTAGGCCTTTATCAAGACTAACTATAATGATAACTGAAGAATTTCTAGAGAGAAATAATATGGGGATCACTTCCCATCTCTGAGGGGAGGTGAAATGTGGAGAAAGATAGCACAGCAGTACCTATTTCCTTAGAAGTGACAGTTTTTCTCACTGTTGTCACCTTCCATACCTTCACCCCCAACATCACTCCAGATATATTAAGAGATGGATAATGCTTGGCATTTGGCACACAAGTTTTGCCTTAGGTTGAGCTGCAGAGCTAGTAGGGAATCTGATGCACTGCATGGCTCAGGAAGGAAGAGTGGAGAGAAATGAGACTGCTGTAGAACTGATAGACTTTGTGTATTGAGAGGGGAAAAAAATCAGTACCGATTATCTTTCAAAATACTGTCTTTTTAATGTGTTCTGCTTGTACAGCCAGATGGATTTCAATTCTTGACCTACAGTGTCTAATAGAAATAAAAGCTGGTGCCTATTGAGATTGTGCTTTCTATCTCTACCAGGTAACCACTGTTGTAAGATGCAGAAAGGAGAAAAATAGAGGTAAAATCACTTCAAATTAGCTATGGCTGGGATAGAAGACAGAAGTAGGCATTTTCTAATGGCTAAAATACTGCGTTCACAAGAATATTTCAGCTGCTCTGTCTTGTTTCTGGTTTTAAGCAACCCACATATTCCTAGTAAAAATAAGCTTAAGCCCTTAAGCTGTACTCATACAAAGAACTTCTGGCATGTGAATATTTTGGCATTCCCAAACTTATGCAGTGTTTACAAGCGTTTACAGAACTAATTGCAGATGTCCTGCAGATTGAAAGTGCCATCCGGCTCTGGTGCAGGGTGCAAAGCTCAGCCCTGACTGTGTCATGTCCTCGTCAAGCATCGTGAAGTCCTGCCCCAATGCAGCTGCGTTTGCCCAGTTCGGCTGTGCTGGGCCGTGCCTGCATCCCCCGCTCAGCCCCTGCAGCTGCTCTAGGTCCAGGCTCTCCTTTCACAACCTTCTCTCTGTCCAAGACGCCGCCTCTGCTGCTTCCTGCTCCGTTCTCCTGCAGGCTCGGCAGCGTTTGAGCTGCGATGGTTCGTGTCAGAGCCTTCTCCCTTGGCTGGGGACCGTGGTGATGCTACCCAGGACCGTGGTGATGCTACCCAGGCCACAGCGCTTGGCTCCGCGCCACCCTCCCACATCCTGCTTTCCTAGGCTCCACCTGCCGTGGCCACAAAATAACAGGGACGATGGCGTTGTTTTTGTTGGGTTTTGTGTCTGTTTCCCTTTCCATTTACCCTTCTCGGCACAGAGGCTGCGGCAGCTGCGGCGGGGCCAGCGCCGCTATCGGGGCGGGCCGGGAGGAGGCGTGGCGGCCGCTGCCGCTGTGTGAGAGGCGGGCAGGAGGGAGGGGCGGCGGGAGCCGGGCTTTTACAGCCAGCGCCTCCGGGCCGGGGGCGAGGCCGCCGCCTGGCCCGGGGGAGCGCCGGGGGCTGCGGTGAGGGGGCGCGGGCGGCGCGGCCTGGCGCGGCTCGTCTGGGGAGCGGGGGGGAGGAAAGCCCGGCGGGGCAGCCGGAGGGCGGCGGGCTCGGGGCCGCTGGGGGAGGCCCGGGGCGGGAGGCGGGTGCGGGGTCCCGGGGTTGACGGATGCCCTGCTCCGATCCCCGTGGCCGCGGCCGGGTCCGCCCGCCCGCAGGGCCGCGCTGCCCGCGCCGTTCAGGGCGCAGCGAGGCGGCGGCTGAAGGAGCTTCCTGCCGGTCCGGGGCTGCCTTGTGCCGCTCCCCGGGCACGCCGGGACTGCCTTGTGCCGCTCCCCGGGGATGCCCGTCCCGCGGCATCCTAAAAGTACCTTTGAAGCAATAAAGCGGAGCTGTACGGTTCGCACTGGCGGCAGCGGGGCTTCCTGCTCGCTGCCCCCGTCCCTGGCCCGAGGGTGCGTGTCCGGTCCCGTGTTCCGCGGGGGCTGCGGCGCTGCCCCCGGGATATCAGCGGGCTGGCAGCCACCAGCTCCCCGCGCCCCGGGGACCAGGGCGGAATCTGCGGAAAACAGCAGCAAATCTGCTTTTCCGTGCTGGCAGCCAGGCGAGCATCAACCCCTGTGCCCCAGTGACATATGGTTTGGGCATCGCCAGGTAGCGGCTCCTCTGTGCCTTGGAGATTTGCGTGGCAGAATTTGGAGAGGTTGCACTCATACCTGCGTTTGTAACTGCTGCTGCTGGATAGAGAGCTGTGGGGATAGAGAGCTGACAGTAATTGACAACTTGTAAAAAAACCCAAAGTAACAATCCTGTAATGGAGCATGCGGCGTAATTTAATGACGTATTCATAAAAATGTCATTAAATCGGTTTTTGTTTTTAACATTGGGTAAAATGGGGCTTGTGGTAACATGGAACAAAGCTGAGAGAAGTAATACTTAGCAATAAATAGCGGAAAATTCAAGTGTACAGCATTGAAGTTTAATAGAATAAAATACTTCGACAAAATCCTTGGGTAATTGTAGAAACTAAAGTGATTTTACAGGTAAAGAGTTGTAACTGCCATTTTATTTTTTGCCACTGTAAGCAAATCACCAATGTATAAATTTTACTAAGAAATATTTGTGTGCGTTTCTATAAATATATTTATTTTTCAATGTATTGTTTCCAAGGTTGTTGGCCTTTTGTGTGGATGGCTTCAGAGAACATTTCAGGAGTAGGGTAAGTCCTAAGGCTTTTTGGTGTATTTATGGGCTTCCCTTATACAAAAAATGAACGGGATCAATTGTTCACCAACTGTGATGAAATTGGCAGTATAGTAAGCCTTTAGCATAAAGAAAGCTCTAAACATGTACATTTAAATGTTTTAGGGCGTGTGACATCTACAGAATACAGAAAATTAAAAAAAAAAAACTATGGAACAGTGTTTGTGGTATTTTTAGGCATCTGAAATTTTAGGCATATGAAATTACATTACATTTTCAATGTCTTCTGCTTTTCAGTCATGTGGAAAGAATTCTCAGCAACAGAATTGAAAATTCTGGTTTTGTCTATTGTATTTGTTTTTCTTCCTCAAATGGACATATATGTCCTTAAATTAGCATTTTCATGTACTCTAGGTATATTTAGTATCAATTTATGACCCAAGCTGCTGTTTTATGCAAATTTCATATTAGCGCAGAACTGTTCCGACAAAGCTGTGTTTTTTTTGGCATTTTGATACTTTCACTTTAACGGATGTCTTGCTCTTTCAATGCTAGTTCATTGGTCAGAAATGCAATCTCTCTAATTCTCAGCAAAGCATTTGAAGTTATAATCCCTATAATCCTTGTAAAGCAATTTGATGTGTGGTCTATTTTGAGGCTGTCCTGGTTGTGCCAGTAATGTATTTCAGTTTTCTAGCCTGTATTCATTTGATAAATAATTTTTTAATCTTGATATTTAATGTATCATTGTGTTTCATTTAAATTTACACAGCATTTTTCATATAGTCTTAAAACTATAGGTACTATGTATTATATCTTAATTGTATAAATTCTCAGTTATACTATTAATGGAAAGTTATACCCAGTTTATGTAATCATTTGATTATGTTGTTGCACTTGGTGCATGGTTGTATGAGTAATGCTGCTTTGAGGATGTTTGGTTTGGAGAGATTGGTGTCTTTTGAGTGTCTCTCCTTGCCATCTGTTTTCTGTTTCCAAGTTTAGAGCTTCTGCAAGAACAGTACCCTTTTTGTTTGCAAAAAGACTGCATCAAAATTGTCCTTCTCAGAAAGAAAGGAAGGTTTAAGAGTCAATCTGAGCAAGCATTGAGAACTTTATCAGTGGCTGTAAAGTCTGTGATTTTATAGCAGATCAGTCATCAAGCAACCTTAAAGGAATGATATTGTATGAAAGTTAAAGTTTATGAAAGACAGTACTATTATTAGATTTAAAGAACCAGAAACACCAAATCCCAACACATTGTATTCTTTCAAAAAGTTTATTTTTTTTTATTTTTTAGAGCTGCATATGAGTGCCTGAGATAAAAGCAATGATAAAAAAGCAAAACAGGGAAGATGTAATGTAATGTTATAGATGTGCATGAAGTTAAATTTTAGTGCTTTCAATCTCTTAGGTATCTCCTCTTTAATGCTACAGTTGATTTATTTTCCCCCTCTTCCCAAGCAGAAAACTGGAGGAAGTAAGTTTTACCTTACTTATCCAAATTTGTTTCAGACACCAGTGTTTAATAACAACTTAATGGAATGTGTAAACAGGTAAATGAGAGAAGTCTAAACCCACAACTTTCTGCTATAAAGGTTAATGTGAAATGTCCAAACCCACAAATTATTGTTTCAGTCTGGACGGTGATGGTGTGGCCTAACAGATAAATAGGATTGTGGTAATTTGTTTTGGTCTTTTTGATTGCCAGAATGAAATCTTGCACTCTTCTTTTGCCCTTTTTTTTGGTATCCACTGCAGGTGAGACCAGCTTTATGATAAGGGTTTGCTTTGGCAGAAAATGATGTAACATGATAGATAATGCTGTTCATATTAGTTCCACAAAAATAATCTGTGTTGACTGTTCTGTTGTACTAGTTATTGCCCCACCATTTGTAAACTTTCAGTGCAAAACTTGGCTAGTTCCAGTAACTTTCTGAGACTTAGTACAGTTTTTGTAAATGCACTTGCAGGAATGAAGTGGAAGCCAGCTGAATTCTCTCGTGCCCTGCTGAGACGAAATGACATTCACGTTTGGGGCGAATGGAAGCCACGGCAATGTGTAACATGGGAGGGAAAGGCACGGATGGACCATGTGGCGTGACTCGTTCAGGCTGCAGCTCTTCTGCCTGCTCATGGCAGTGCTGGCTGTCGTGGTGCTGGTCCATAACTTTTTTCAGTTAGAGGTAAGTGGAACCTGTTTCTTCTCCGAGATGGCTTGAGCAACATTATGGGCTTTTGAGTGTGAGGTTAGAATTGTCTGACTGACAGCACTTAGCTATAAATAGGAATCACAGAAAATTCATAGTTGAAGGTATGTCTGGAGGTATTTAATTCAACACCCTCCTAAACAGACTGACATCAGAGTTAGTTTGGATTGCAACAGGGTATTTTGACTTTTGACCATATTCAAAGACACTCATATTTCACAACCTACCTAGGCAGCCTGTTGCAATGCTGCATCCCTCTTAGAGGGAAGAATGTTTGCCTTAAGTGCAACCTTTTATCCTATTAGAATGTTACTCCAGTTCCTCTGTGACTCCCCTGTGGTTAGTGAAAGACTGCCGTTAGGTTCCCTTTTGGTCTTCTCTAGAATTAAAAAAAGATGCTTTGGTTCCCTTAGTGTCATTCCAGTTCCCTAAGCATCTCAAGGGTTCTTAGCTAGTCTTGCCAGCTTTACTCTGGCATGGGTTGTCCAAAAGCCAGACACAGTGTTCTAGGTGTGGCTTCACCATGGTCAAGTTGAGGAGAACTCTAACTTTGCTCAATCATCTGGTTAGGAGCTTGTTCATTCTTTGCTACAACGCTGTGCTGCTGACACACAGTGAGTTTGCTGTCTCCTGGAATCCCTAGGTCTTTTCTGAAGAGCAGTTACTAGCTTGTTCATCTCCAGCCTGTCTGATGCAATTTTTGTTTATCTTTCCCTTTTTCCCCTCTGCTGTATCTGTCTTGCATATTTCTTCATTTTACTTCTTGCTTCAGTGCAGAGGTACTTTCAAACTGCTTAGTCAGTAACTCCAGATTAAAGTCAAGGAGGATGAGGATCTGTCTTCAGGAGCCCTGGAGGCTGACCCTGCCCTCTGGCTGCCTGCATGGCCAGGCATTCCAGTGCTGCATTTGGTGGATGAGCATGGTAATTAGGTAACACCTTGTTAAATTATAGCTGTTCTTCATACATGCCAGCCAGTCAGTAAGTGCTTTATGCTTTTAAGTTGTGTATATGCTGTGTGCAGAATCTTCCTTCCTCCTGGCTGGTGATGCCCAAATGAAATGATCCAAAAGAGGGGCTGTAAAGCCCCCTCACTCCACACAAAATACAGTTGAATTGGAAGAGGATCATGTAAGGGTAAGGAAGATGTTTGGGAAGTCTAAAACCACAAGTGATTCAGGATCAATAACTGAAGAATGAGTGTTACGTATTCCAGTACTTGTGGGCACATTAAATAGAAACTGCAGCAGCTGATTTTAAAGGAAGCAGGGATATTTTATTAAGGATTGCAGCAAAGCTGCAGAAGCTTTTGCAGTAAGTCTTTGTAGTTACTAAATGTATATATTCAAAAACTGGATGAATGCACAGAAGAAAAGTCCATTGGGGGTACTAGATCTTAAGATATTTACCCTAGTGTTTAAGAAATCTAAACCATAAAGGGCTAAAAAGTGTGTTAAGTCTACAGGAGGAAATGGCACAGCATGTTCAGTCTGTTTTCCCATATACCTGCTGTTGGAAACTATTGGCAATCAAAATATTGTGTTTGATGGACTTTTGGTTCAAGTTAGCATGATCCATTTTGTTTGTAGGAGGTAGCTTTTGTTTTCTCGTTTTGTGGTTTTATTTTGTTTTGGGTTTTGACCTAGGATGTTGCCTGAGGAGTGTTGATATTTAGAATCTTAAACTGTTTTCTTTCCATTTTAAAATTACATTTCTTAGAGAAAAGTTCTCTGGCAGTGCTTTGAGAGTGAAATGGAAAATGCAGGTTGAGTGTTCACTCTGTGCTTTTTCTGGCCATTGTCCATGATAAGTTTCTTTGTGGCTTTGTTGCCCTTTACATATCTGCTATTCTAACCTCAGTTAAGTATTTTGTTCCTGATAAATCTTTACACTATAACATGCAACTCTAACCCCTTCTGTTGACATGACTTTTCTGAATGGACCTGCTCCTGTATTTGTCTTGGCTCAGTTTTCCAGGCAGTCTAATATAGGCATTTATGCTGATTCTTTTCAGTCAGAGATCAAAGCCAGAAAAAATCTTATAACACTTTCACAGAATATCTGTAACCAAATCTGTTCAGGCTTTGGAAGGAGAGCTTATTGTTGGTTACTATTGAGAATGTGTTTGTAAATGCATCAGACATACTTCTCATCCCTAAATCATCCTAGCTGGTTAAAGCTCAAGATCTAAGGCAATTGTCAACCGGTGTCCCTTCTGTTTTGCTTTAGGATTTTATACCTTTTCATGTTGGAATGTTTCCTCTTAATTTCTTATACTACTAATGACATCCTCCCAACAGTCATACCCATGTCAGATTTTTACTTTTCTTGTGTTTAAAAAACCCAACAAGCTGTCCACAAAAGGTTTGGTAGCCTGCTTATTATTTACTTTGCTTTTTTTAATGGAATAACTATTCCTTTGAGGTCACATAGTTGATTATATAGTACCAGAAGAAATGTGTGTTTATTTTATTAGATTTTTTTTTCTGTGACTATAGCCAGACAGATAAAATGTGCAATTTTTTGTGAAGTATCAGGATGTTGCCCAGACATCATGCTCTCAGGATGCAGGAGGGATTGTGTATTTGTACCAGTGACCTTTGGGGTGACAGAACCACTTTGGGATTGGTTGTGAGTGCTATTTTATTTACAAGCCCCTCGAAGAGAGAGGAGAAGGTAAGTTTCTTGCCAGGACAGAGTATGAAATCAGATAGCTGAGAGTGAGCAAAAGAACTGTGTAACAAAGTTTTAAATTCTTGCTGCTAAACTGCAGGTGCCTACAAAAGATAACTTTATCTTATTCCAATTCCAATTATTTCTGGAACATTTGACTGTCAGGTGATGGCTTTTGAGGACTGGCTTTGACACTTAGAGTAGTTTAGCAGCCCTTCAGTGCTGTGAGATGGTAATGATAGAGAACTGATTTCATATCTGTCATAGACAACAAATAAAGTACCTGGAGTGTAAAATTACTGAATATAAGATGACTGACCTTTCAGGAATTGGTATTTGTTCAGATTCAGATGCTGTCTCCTGAAGCTTTTATTTCCCCACTGTGCCTGTTGCCTGGGAATCTCCTGTGTTGTTTCCTGTTCTAGTGACAGTGATTTAGGCAGGTTTCCAGCAGCTGTTGAGGCCAAAGCAGGAGTTAACAGCTGGTGGAAGATACTGGGATTTGAGGGGGAGTTCCCCTTTTTCAGCAGCCATGGAAATACTCAATGTTTTCATCAGCCACCTACACTGTGGTGTTTAACTGAGGACAGGTGTTGATTGCAGATCTTCCCAAGTACTCTGTGACTCATCTAGAGTATCTTTGAGAGCATTATTGCCTGGGTTAATCTATATGGTGTACCTAATGTTTGATTAGTTGATGGTGAGAATGCCAAAAGCTGAGGAGATGAGCTGAAACTTCCATTAATTCTCGTAAAAATACATTTTCCTTTTTTCCCCTTTTATGACATCTCTAATGCAGGAACTGCTAGTGGATTTATTTGTGCTTAACTGACATGTAATCTCTTCTGTCCTGCCTGTGTTACTTGGCAGATAGCCATTAAATTACTTTGTGGTCACATTTGGGTTCTGCTTAGCTTCAAAATGCAGTAAATTAAAAAAAAAAAAAAAGATATGTAGGAAAAAAAACCCAAAAAACCAAAAAACCTAAACAAACTCCTCCCACACAAACAAAAACCGCTCAAACCCAGCAAACAATGGGTTTGCACTTAAAATACATGACACCTTGAATGGGGTATACATGGAAATAAGCAAAGCAGGTGTTATCCAACATGGAGCCTGTAATCAACACTAAAAGAATGTGTCATAAAGGAAGAGCTCTCTTTAGAAATCCTCTCTATCTGCTTTTCATAAAGGAATTTTGTTTAGTTTAGCTACTAACTACAATAGAAAGCCCTCCATTCTGCACAGTCTCAGTATGATGACAGAGAGGAGCCAGAGAGACTTGGAAATGCCAAGAGGGAGTAGGAAATGAAGTGGGGACAAACTCAGCTAATTATTTACCTCAGAGCAGGCCTTGTGTATCCGTAGGGGCTGGAGAACTTAAGTACTTGTTTGGAGCTGAGCCTGGGAAGCACTTAAGAAAGGAAGATGGTTTGGAAAGCTTTTATATTCCAGTCAGGGATCTTTGGTGTATTAATGGACTCTCAGGCTTTTTCTGCCTTTACTGGCAGGGAGAATCTGTGCAATATTTTATTCTGTGAATAGCATACATGGTCTAGGTTATTTTCACACATAAGCTTCTAATTCTGCAACAATACAGGGTCCTGGTTAGGCTTGAAAGAGGGCTGTAAAGATGAACAAAGATGCTGGAGAAAGAATGCTCCTCAGGATGTTGATGCTCTGCTTTTACCTTCATGGAGCTTCCCCCTCAGGCCCTTTGAAGATAGACTGAGGAAGTATTTGTGGTATGATCTATTCTGCTTAGGGGGACATAACCTGGAGATCTTGAAGTGACAGTGCATGTCCTTGTTCTCAGCTGCATACAAGTGAAGAGCTTTGGCCTTATGCTCTGCTAAAAGTCTGTGTAGGGCGACCGATTTGGAGCAATCAACCATATTCTGTTTTCTGAATGAGTTTGTTGGCTTGGTGTTCTCTGCACCCTCTCTCACTGAAAGGTATGGGTATGCATTTGGAAAGACTTCAGAAAGCCTAGCTGGGCCAGAAATGGCATCTCTACATCTCTGACAGAAAGACTGGGTTAAAAGCACTGAGGAAATTTATGGAAAATTAAAATTAGGGATACATCAGTTTTTAAGCTGTCTTAGATGACCATCTCTTCTTAATTTGAAAGGATTTGTTTTTCCCATGTCCGCCAACCATTGAAGAACCAACTGAAAACCAGAAACTTTCTCTTGGGAACTTACACTGAAAACAGCAATTAATCCTAACACATATTCTCCCTTTCCACTCCTCTTTAGGAGTACATAAATATTTTTGCTGAGACATTGTTGCTGGCTTATTGGATGCATCAAAATATATAGCAAACTTTTAAAAATATTTCCATGCAGTATTTTCTGTTATATATATATATATGTATATATTTATGCATTAGCAAGTGAAGGGAAGAAGTTGTGAAGGTATCCAAAAATAGAAACTTGGCTTAATTCAATAGTGCATGTAGGCAAGATTTAAAGTAGAACTGTGCCTGAGATTCACTCTCAGCTTTGGCTGAAATTTACAGGACTAATAAAAGTAATGTGCAGCATACATCTGCAGCTTGGCTTGCTGCAGCTTGGCTTGCTGTGATGGAAAACAAAAATAATTATGAATTATTGCCTTCAGGGAAAATTTATTAAATCCTGGGTGGGACTATAAAACAGAAGCAAAAGCTTCTATTGTGATGTTAACATCTAGTATATAGATGGGTATATGTCAATTATGTTTTAGAGCTACAGTGTAGCAATTTACAGTTTCAGGTTTTATAGTTAACTTGGATATCAAACAAAGATTTTGTGTATCCGTCCTACATCCTCCTGTGCTCATCCTCTTTTCTCTAAAGCTGATCAAAACCAATTTATGTCACAGACTTCAAAAGCCTGTATGTTTTTATTGCTTGTTAGGTTTACCTTTCTTCTGAATAAGTATGTTGAATCTCAGTGTGGTTCAAATGGTTTTAAGACACTGCTGATATTTCCATGGCCTAAGAAAGGTTTATAACAATGAATAAGGCTTTAATATGAGTGTTGTGATTTTAGTACAAGACATTTAAAAGTAGTTAGTAGTGAGTAGTTAGTTAAGGAGGAAGTAAATGGAAAACACTGAGGTATTGGTAAGTACAATGATATTTTTAAAGATTTCAAATAATGTAATTTGGATTTTTAGCAATCTTTCAAATCTAAATGAGCATATCATCTGATGCTATGTGAATGGTACACTGTATATATAATTTTAATCTTTGCTTGAAAGACTATTTTCCTTCTTTATGAAATAGAACTATGGATAAATTCTACTACATATACCTGGTAATTAATTGGTCATTAACTGCTGATTTTGTGTGTATTTTAAGGGGTTTTTCTTAATTTGCTGATTAGAAATCTCATGGGTACCTCTGGAGTCTTAGACTGTGCTATTTTTAAAATTTTCCTAATGCAAACCTGCAAAATTATGTGATGTCATAAAGAAGATGGTATTTGCAGTCATTTGCATGCAAATACAGCTTTGGACACAGACATTTTTGCACAAAATACAGTTTTATCAAGTTGCAGCAGAAGCCCCTTCTCTTAGTTTAGTTTTGTATTTAAGTATTTTAATTTATAAACTCTTGTGTGATTAGGGGATGCTTTGCTTGCTGTTTCATTTGGTGCTAGAAGCAGCTGTATATAGATTTTAAAATCTTCTAAATAAACAAGCAGGTTTTTGGCCTGTTTAGTCCTAGCTTGTCCTGCACTATTCTACTTGCCAGCTGGCTCATGAATTCATTGTCCCAGGAGGATCTGGCTTTTGTTCTTTTATTTCTTTTAATGTGTACACAATGGGGAAACATGCACTTCAGATAATTAGCCAAGAAGAGATGTGAGAGTGACCAGATAAATGAGTGCAGCTGCCACATGCAGCAAGCCTCTCTGGAAGGCATGTGCAGGGGTGCATCAGCTTAACCTGCAGTGTAACATCTCAAAGAAAACCTATTTCCCTGCATTACATGGAGCAGCTATTAGAACCCATGGTGCTCCAAGGCTAAAATGTTACTGCAGAAGAAAAGGAAACATGAGTTATAATTTATTTTTGTGGGGGTGTTCGCAGGGTCCAGGACGAGGGAAGAGATGAGAATCTTGACTCCATGTTTTAGAAGGCTGATTTATTATTTTATGATATATATTATATTAAAAGAAAATGATATATTAGAACTATACTAAAAGAATAGAAGAAAGGATTTCATCAGAAGGCTAACAAGGAATAGAAAGTAATGAATAATAAAAGCTCATGACTCTCAGAGAGTCTGAGCCAGCTGACTGTGGTTGGTCATTAATTAAAAACAACCACCTGGACCAATCACAGATGCACCTGTTGCATTCCACAGCAGCAGATAATTATTGTTTACATGTCATTTCTGAGGCCTCTCAGCTTCTCAGAAGAAAAAAATCCTAGCAAAAGGATTTTTCATAAAATGTGTCTGTGACACCTTTTGCCATTTTTTTTCACATTGCCGATATTTGGAGAGTGTACTGGTAGCTGAAACACTGCCATGCATTGGATGTATGCTCTTTAAATGCTTGTTTGCCAAAGCAGGATAACTACAGCTTGCCCACCTGTTTCCTTAGAAATCTCATGGTCAAAGTAACAGACTTGGGTCTTCTAGTGAAGTTGATTCATTTGGTGAGCTTCAAAGCTCTGTTAAGCAAAGCCCAGTTCTTGGGACCATTTCCCAACAAAGCATCCATTATTCCCAGTGTTTCATTTCACAGCACAGCTTCAGGTAATCTTTTTCTCCCCAGCACCTGGATGATGACACAGTTTCAGGATCGAATTGGATAACAGAAAACAATGTCCAGCATTCTCTGTCCCAGACAGCCAAAACCACCAGGAAGCCTTACTGTGGGTACACGGAGCAGACCTTGTCCAAACGGGAACAAGCAGAGCAGGAATCCTTGCTTGCTGCAATACAGTGGCCAAAGCCCCCTGATGGCAAAATCCCCTTTGCACAGAGCACTGATCCCACACAGAGTGACTTTGTGATTGTGAAACCCAGCAAGTTCTTCAAGGTGGGTGATCAGTTGGAGGTACTCGTTCGTATGAAGGACTTCCAAGGAAAACCCAAGCAGTATGGTGGAGACTATTTACAAGCACGAATTCACTCTCCTGGCCTGAAAGCTGGAGCAGCAGGAAGGATTGTAGATTGCCACAATGGCCTTTACAAAGTCTTCTTTACCTTGCTTTGGCCAGGAGAGGTCAAAGTTTCTGTGTCACTTGTCCATCCGAGTGAAGCCATCCAAGTCCTCCTGCGTTTGCGAGAGGAAAGGCCGGACAGAGTCTATTTCAAAAGCTCCTTCAAGTCTGGGAGGTATTCAGAGACTACAGAGTGCAACGTTTGCTTGCCTGCAGGTCTCCCAGTCTGTAACTTCACAGATCTCTACACGGGTGAGCCATGGTTCTGTTACAAGCCTCGGAAACTGTCCTGTGCCAGCCGAATCAACCATGCCAAAGGTGGATATCTGAAAGGTCTTCTGACACAAGAGGAAAGTCTCTTTTTCCAAAGGTTTGTATGTTGTTCGATTTATATATATTCAGTCAAGTAGTTTTGTTTGGTTTTTTTCATACAAATGTTAGCCTATTGCTTAAATATGACACATTGCCTTAGAGAAGGAGTGTAACTGCAGGACCAGATGTTTGGTCTTAGTTGTTGAATAGTCTGTTCCCCTCCATTCAGCAGTGCAAGAATCTTAGACAGCAATCTTAAACTTGGCATGTAGTTCTCTTTCTGTGCTTTGAATTCAACCTTACTGAATTTCACAAGAGCATGCTGTCTAAAGCTGGTGGAAACAGCTGGGGGACTTTTTCCTTATTTTCTGTTTCCATACCTGCACTTGCAATATTAATAACAATGCTTTGAGAAGTATTTTTGTTCAAATCTAAACTATTCAAAAAGGATCTGGGTTTTAGGCTCATTTTTACAGAAATTACCAATTGTTTTTGTCCTAATCAAAAATTGTCTTAAATGTGTTCCTTGTCACTCAATATAACTTTCAAATCTTATAAACAATTTTCATAAAGGAAACACCTGGTAGAACAAATTGCTGAGCAATACCCATGCAAATGGAAATGATCTGTGCATGTTATTTCAAGTGTCAAACTAAATTAGTTTCACAGTCATATTTTATTTCTGCATTCGGCATTAAAAAAACCCCAAACCATCTCTTATTGCCTGCGTAAGTGTGACAGAACTGCTTCTGTATGAAATTGCACAGCTGAATTTAGATAGTTAGTTATTGGGTAGTGTCAGAGTTGTAGATGTAGGCTAATGCCTTGCTCTCCAACAAAGATGTTGTAGAGAAGTCTTTTGGCACTATGTTCACTTGATGTCTAAATTGGGAAAGATTTTAGGGTAGCAGCTCCAAATAGTGTAATTTAGGAAAGTATGTGTGCATGTTCATAACCAAGACCAGAAATAAAAAGTAAGCATCAGTGGGGTTTTTTTGGCTCTTCCATATCAAGTCTGTAAATGGGTCTTTTGACTTTGTGTCTCTGCCAGTCCACCTGTAAAATATAGCTTATATTTATTATGGTGATGTTTCCATATGGGGATGGAAAAGGTGTTTTTCTTGGTTTAGTTTTGATTGTTTATTTTTTTGTTTGTTTCATTCAGCTCTGAGATCCTTGACCGAAGTGGCTTAAAGAAATTCCAGATAATATATTTCTTAAATGGAGGGAAAAAAAATAGACAAGGATTCTCTTCAAAACAGTAGCAAAAGACAGAACAAGATCTCAGTATTAGTCAGCTGGGAGCTGCTGCTGTAGCCCTGTACCCTTGCAGTGGTTGTCCCCACAAGTTCTGCAAGCTGGGAACATCTTTGGGGCAAATCCCCAAAAGCTTCCTGCAGACCTCTGACAGCTTGATTGCTTTATTGAGATTTGTGTCAGTACAAGCTTGCACAAGATTTGTGTCAGTGCCATGAAATTTTGAATTTGGATCGAGAATAGCAACGGTAGTCTCAAAATAAATGTGGAATGAATTCAGCTGTAGGAAGTAGAGTAAACTTAGAGTAAAAATTCATAGTACTGTGTGCTTATTTGAAGTGGAGTAAGAAAAAAAAAAAGATTAATATTACCTCCAAGTTTCACAGTAACTTTTACAAATATTGCTGTGTTCATTTTTTGTTGAAGTGACGTGAATATCAAAAGGCCAATACTCTCCAGTGGACCTGATTCAGTCATTGTAAAGCCCAAGGCATTTACAGGTAAGGTGAACTGCTTAAGATTCTTGTTGGTAATTCATAATTAAATTTATAAAAAGAATGACAGGCATCAAATAATAATTTAGGGGTTTTTTTAGCATGGCAAAAAAGTCAGTATCAGATTTCTATTGAGATGATGAAGGCTTTTGGGTGTTAACTTTAATACAGGTTCAGAAATAGTGATTTTTTTTTTCTGAAATTACATAGATAAATGGGATTATTAGCAAAAGAAGAAATCAAAAGAAGAGAGTACTTTGTTCTCTTGCCAAAAATGTCTTTTATTTCTCCTAGCATTTACTCACAGTGTAAAATGTCTTAGAGTAACTGCTTACCAAACTCTCAATCTAATGAAAACAGCTGTGTGGTGTTTCTTAATTTCTTTCTTTGTTAAGAATGTTGTCGAACAGATTTTGATAACTTGCATTTAAGTATTACTATAATTTGTGTTACCACAGGATGTCAGAGTCTACAGTTCTGGACCAGAACCTAATTGTTCTGTGCCCTTTCTAAGAACAGAACAAAGACAGTCTGTACTAAAATTAACTCAGATTTTATCTCATTCATATCCAAAGGCAAGTTTTTTATGCTTCTAAAAAGTCTGCATAAAATGTGATGCACAGTGAATTATTTCTTAAATGAAAACTTCTCATATTTTTTTTTCATAGGGTTATAAGAGACTTTTAAGGTAGAGTTACTGACCTGAGCAATAAAGTCTGAACAGAAGGTGACTTAGAGCATTTCTTTCTTTTGGTTTTACTGTTCACTAAAAAAATACAGTTCTGCTACTACGTTTGCAGCATTTTACCCTCCACCTCTTTTCTTTGTCCAGATCCTTTAGCTGATATGTTTCTGTTGCTTTTTTCATCCTGTATGGTTCCTGGCAGAAACTGCTGCAAATTCAAAATTTGATTGTCACCCTTCTTCCAGGAGCTAAGAATGATCAAAGCCTGCTTATAATGTCCTGACAATTAATGCTGGGTTAAAAAGTGTTGATAGGCATAGCACATTTCCTCAGGGAAATTCCTTCCAAGTACAGCAGTCTCTGAATAAATAAACTGAACTCATTGGTATAATGCTTGTGAATGTGTGGATTGGTTAGGACTGATGATACACACAAACTCTTTGTTCTGCTGTTGTTGTTTTTGTACAGGTTTTTCTGTACGGTGGTAAATGTAGATCAAGTTTTTAAAAACATTTCTTTTTCTGAAATGCAAGTTTTTATTTCTATCCTTGTTTTTTTAACTTCAGATTGGAGCTTTTATTCTCTTTTATAAAATAAGGACCAATTCTGAATTCTGGGCCAAAACTGGTATGATACTATACACAGATTGATTTACTATGGGGCACCACCAAGTTGTTCTAGTACCACTCTTATATATATAAAAGTATCCATCTAAAAGGTAAATAATTGAATTGCTTTTGCATCAAAGCTTAAAATCTAACAAACTCAAGTTGGGAATTCACATTATGAGTTAGTCTTTAACTACATGATCATGTGAAGGCTTTTTTTTTTTCCTTTCACCTGTTAATAAATATTAGATGAGTTCACATTATTAGCTAGGGGTTTGTTTTCTTCCTTGTTCCTGCAGTCAGATTTAAAGAATCATCCAGAGATAGAATTTTCTGATGGCTTTGTTCTGTGGTAATTGTGATTATATTATTTGTGTTATACAAATGTAATTGTATAGTAGTTTGCTTTTTAGTGTCCCTGTGAGGTCTAAGGAGGTTAACATCCTCTAACATAACATGCAGAGGATATTGAATAGAAAAAGAGCAATTAAAAATGCTTATTAGGAAAGATGGTTATGGTTGGCTCTATCTGTGTTATAATGAAGCATCTATCAGAGGATGCTTTTGGGCCCTGGAATTCCAGTGCTTGTACTTTTGCATCATTCAAACAGTCCCTGGCATGATTTTGGCCATGGCAAGGTGTGCTTTATCAAACAGCTGTAAGTTATGACAGGGCATGGACTGTTCTTAGCAGTCCCCACACCAAGGTGAGTAGAAGTGTTTAAGCAGCTGGAAGTATCTGCTCCATGCAGCTGGTGTTTGTGCCAGGGAAGATCTCCATGCTTGTTCAGCTGAGGTATTTAAATACAAATGGCAAAGGAGGAACCTGAAACAGCCTTACAGAACTTTGATGTACCAATATCACTCTGGTTACTAAGAGAAATATGGCAATATTTAGCTGACATAACCATGAGATTGCAGTTTCTCTTCCTGATACCTTTGCTTGCAAGGTATTGCTCAACTTCTGCAAGTTAAAAGGGCATCCTATGGAGCAGAGATTCCCTGATGTGTAGTTGCCCCTCTGGGAGCTGCCTGTCCCATGCAGTAAATGGGGAGGGGGCTGGATAGCAGAGATAAAGTATGAAATCCACGGAATTAGGGACTCTCTTAGTTATCCTATTCAAATGGCACATACACCATTTTTGGTCATAGCTGCAATTCTGGCATTTTCTAGCTTTGGAGGCCTTATGGTTCAGACTTAACTCTTCTAGAGTGCCGAGGTATGTGTTATTCCGTAGGAGTAGTTTTTCTGGGGTCTGTTTCGGTCTGTTTGGGGGTTTTGTGGGTTTGTTTCGGGTTTGTTGGATGTTTCTCTGGGTGTTTGCCAGGCTGTCCCCGCGGGTCGGTGTCCCCGCCGAGCAGCGCTGCCGTGCGCGGACCGGCCGCTGGAGGGCAGCAGCGCGCCGCGGCAGGGCGGCCTCCGCTCCTTCGGCGGCGGGACGGGGAGGATGCTCCGCCGGGCTCCTGCCTCCGCTCCTTCTGCAGCGGGACGGGGAGGATGCTCCGCCGGGCTCCTGCCTCGGCTCCTTCTGCAGCGGGACGGGGAGGATGCTCCGCCGGGCTCCTGCCTCCGCTCCTTCGGCGGCGGGACGGGGAGGATGCTCCGCCGGGCTCCGGCCTCCGCTCCTTCTGCGGCGGGACGGGGAGGATGCTCCGCCGGGCTCCGGCCTCCGCTCCTTCTGCGGCGGGACGGGGAGGATGCTCCGCCGGGCTCCTGCCTCCGCTCCTTCTGCAGCGGGACGGGGAGGATGCTCCGCCGGGCCCCTGCCTCCGCTCCTTCTGCGGCGGGACGGGGAGGATGCTCCGCCGGGCTCCTGCCTCCGCGCTGGATCCGCAGCGGGACGGGGAGGATGCTCCGCCGGCCTCCTGCCTCCGCTCCTTCTGCAGCGGGACGGGGAGGATGCTCCGCCGGGCCCCTGCCTCCGCTCCTTCTGCCGGGCAAACACTGAGCGCTTCCAGCGTGCAGAGAAAGGTGGCAGATACGTTTTTACATTAGGGGCAGAGATACCATTTAATTTAAACCAAGTTGAACTATAATCGGCCACCCAGCTCTTGTCGCTGCAGTCGCTGACTACATGTCAGTGAAGATTATGGAGGCTGTTTTGGTTGCATGTTAATTTCAAAGGATTTTTCTCTTCCAGATTCAAGCAGTATGGGGAGAGCTGAAGATCCCACAGCTTCCCCTTCTGGTTATTATTATGAAGACCAGTGGAGGTCCAGAACACATTGGATCCATAATTTTAACAAATCAGAGGATATAACTGAGTGCTTACAAGGAAAAGTAATCCACTTGTTTGGAGACTCTACAATAAGGCAGTGGTTTGAATATTTGACAGCATTTGTTCCAGGTAATTTTTTGTTATTTAGCTTTAAGAGCCTTTACAAAGACTTATTTCTCACATCTCAGACACAGAGCTGGTTTTACTGAGTGACAGTGACAAAAACAAAGGAAGAGGAAAGACAAAACCTCATCAGAAGCCCTGGCAGACAGCCAAATGTTTGAGCAGACATTGAAAACATGTAGGCCTTGTAACTGGGGCCACCAGGTATCTGCAAAGTTGTCCTTGTAACAGGACTGCTGCTGTGCTTGTGAGTTAAGGCAGCAGGAAATCACTTGGGTTGCCTCTGTAAGGTCTTGCAGCATCCTAGTCACAGGAGAGATTTTGGAATGAAGTAGCAAATTACCTCCATTGCTATTTATAGGTTTTGGGGCCCTCTTCATTAAAGTTACTTAAGTAGAAGAACTTCAGTAGAAAATGAAATATTCCTGCCTCACTCATCCCTTTCCTCTGAACCACTTCAGTTGTGTTGGAATACAGTCTTTGAGCTGCCTTAATTCCTACAACTTGAAATAGTCTTTAAATTTAATGGAGTCCTAAAATTGCTAGAAGGGTTCTTGTGAACCCTGGATTCAGAGAGTAACACTGAGTATTTGGAAAATTTATTTTTTGCTAGAGAGAAGGAAATAGTTTGGGAAACTTGGAAAAGGCATTGACAGCCTTATGAAATCCAAATGTGCTGTCCTGCAGATTTCAACACCCATGAACTCCACTCTGAAAAATGATGCTCACCTTCTGTTTAGTTTTAGAGTTCTTTGAAATATGTTCAGGTTTCCTTGTCTACTTCTGCTTTGCCCTGTGGTCCAAGCATCTTGTTGACAGCTTGAAGTTCTTAGTTGTCTCTGTCCCTTTGCGAGCCTCTCAGGAACCCTGGGCCAGTCCTGAGTCGGCAGACACCGGGGGGCAGCCCCGACACGGCCGACAGCGGGGAGACACTGTCTGTGTGTGCCCCGAGAGTGCTGAGGGCACCTGGGCTGGCAGGGAGACACTGTCTGTGTGTGCCCCGAGGGTGCTGAGGGCACCTGGGCTGACAGCAGGGAGACACTGTCTGTGTGTGCCCCGAGGGTACTGAGGGCACCTGGGCTGACAGCAGGGAGACACTGTCTGTGTGTGCCCCGAGGGTGCTGAGGGCACCTGGGCTGGGGGGAGACACTGTCTGTGTGTGCCCCGAGGGTACTGAGGGCACCTGGGCTGGCAGGGAGACACTGTCTGTGTGTGCTCCGAGGGTACTGAGGGCACCTGGGCTGACAGCAGGGAGACACTGTCTGTGTGTGCCCCGAGGGTACTGAGGGCACCTGGGCTGACAGCAGGGAGACACTGTCTGTGTGTGCCCCGAGGGTACTGAGGGCACCTGGGCTGGGGGGAGACACTCTCTGTGTGTGCCCCGAGGGTACTGAGGGCACCTGGGCTGGCAGGGAGACACTGTCTCTGTGTGCCCCGAGGGTGCTGAGGGCACCTGGGCTGGCAGGGAGACACTCTCTGTGTGTGCCCCGAGGGTACTGAGGGCACCTGGGCTGACAGTGGGGAGACACTGTCTGTGTGTGCCCCGAGGGTACTGAGGGCACCTGGGCTGGCAGGGAGACACTGTCTGTGTGTGCCCCGAGGGTACTGAGGGCACCTGGGCTGGCAGGGAGACACTCTCTGTGTGTGCCCCAAGGGTACTGAGGGCACCTGGGCTGGCAGGGAGACACTGTCTGTGTGTGCCCCGAGGGTGCTGAGGGCACCTGGGCTGGCAGGGAGACACTCTCTGTGTGTGCCCCGAGGGTACTGAGGGCACCTGGGCTGGCAGGGAGACACTGTCTGTGTGTGCCCTGAGGGTACTGAGGGCACCTGGGCTGGGGGCAGACACTCTCTGTGTGAGCCCCGAGGGTGCTGAGGGCACCTGGGCTGACAGCAGGGAGACACTGTCTGTGTGTGCCCCGAGGGTGCTGAGGGCACCTGGGCTGGCGCCTTTGCAGCACAAGTGACACCAGAGACATTGGTAGAAGAGAAAGGGCTGACACTTAGCAGGGGTTAATCCAAGGTTGTATTAGGAGTCCCAAAGGAGCTTCTGCACCTCAGGGGCCTCCTGCCGAGAGCCCTGGGAGATGTGCCAAGGTTACATTTAAAGGGAGGTGGAAACCAAAAGTAGATAACATTTTACCAACCAATAAGTGACTCTAAGGGATGGGTACTGGGGGATCGACATTTAGGACAGCGTATGGGGCAAGGCTTGGGGGGTTGACCCCTGGCCTCTGGCTAATCACTCGACGACCTGGACTGAAGCTTCTAGATGGAGGGATGGGATGCTGAGTGATTGACAGAGAGCCAGGGTGGGGGTTTGGGGATGATCTCATCCCGGGAGAGGGATAACACAGGTAAAGGGAGGGGTGTACAGTCTGGGATAAACCATTTGGGAAAAATATGGGGATACAAAACAAAGCTACTTCAAAGTATTATAAAATATAAAAATGCACTACAACACTTAGTCTTTTGCTAACGCTTGCTCCTGGCCTTTCAGATCTGGTGGAATTTAACCTGGGCAGCCCGAAGAACGTGGGCCCTTTCATGTCGGTGGACCTGAAGCACAACATCCTGCTGAAGTTCCGCTGCCACGGGCCGCCCATCCGCTTCTCCACCGTGTTCAGCAGCGAGCTGCGCTACATCGCCAACGAGCTCAACAGCATCGTGGGTGGCAGGAACACCGTCATCGCCATCACCATCTGGTCCCACTTCAGCACCTTCCCCGTGGAGGTGTACATCCGCCGCCTCAGGAACATCCGCAGGGCCGTGCTGCAGCTGCTGGACCGCAGCCCCAAGACCGCGATCGTCATCAGAACGGCCAACGTTCAGGAGCTTGGGCCGGAAGTGAGCCTCTTCAACAGTGACTGGTATTCCTTTCAGCTTGATTCTGTCATGAGGAAAATGTTCTCAGGAATTGCTGTGCACTTTGTGGATGCTTGGGAGATGTCTGTGGCTCATTACTTGCCTCATAACCTGCACCCTAATGAAATAATTGTTAAGAATCAAATAGATGCGTTTTTATCTTATGTGTGCCCTCTGCAAACTTAGCACAAATGGGTATCCCTATGTCGCCTTTTGCTATAGCCCAAGTACAGCTGCTCTTTTGAGCTGTGGAATGAGGCTGGATGATATGGAGGAACTCTGGGTACTGTACTTGCATGCAGGATAAGTAGAGTGGCCTTAAAGTCTGGGTAGCTGTGAAAGGGTGGTAAAGAGGAGTTGACTCTTCAGGCCATATCTTCCTGCAGGGTTGATTCCTTCAAGCTTATCATTCATACCTGAGATTATTAGAGAGCACCTTAAAATTAAATTGGCAGGATTCAATAAGAGATATTTGGGTTATTAGCTTTACTAGTTATCTGCACTGTATGCCTAATTTAATCTGTGTGACACTGATTCTGTTGCCAGGGTCTTGTTGCTCAGAATAGTGTGTGAAACGTGGGAAGGATTTTGGGAATGATCTTTCTCTCAGCATTCCAGAGCTTAAGGGATGTCTCCTCCAGCTGTGTGTCAGAGAAACACAGTGTCTTGTTTCAAAGTCCTAATTAGAAATGTAAAGGGTGTGTACCAAAGTCACCAATAAAGAAGCACAATCACAATATCTGTAGAATTAAGTCATGAAGAATTTGCTGAAATCTAATTGAGCACCCTAGTTAGGTACCTTTGTTGTTTACAGATGGCTGCTAAATAGTGCAAATAGCCAGTATTTTAGTTTGGTTTCTTGTACTACTGAATTTCTTTTGAGCTTGGATAAACTGTCTACTCCTTGATTTATCATTAGTGAGGATATGTGTGTTTTATGACCTCAGCGAAAACACTGTTTCAGGCAGTTTCTGCAAGTTCAAGTTGCAGGCTTGCCTACTTGAAGCTTAAAGCATTTGGCAGTGAAAGTGTTTCATTTACCAGTGAAAGTGTTTCATTTACCAGTGAAAGTGTTTCATTTGCCAATGAAAGTGTTTCCATTGCCTGCCAGCTGCAGCCGTTCCTTATGGTCCTGCAAGGGTGGGCTGCCCTCTGCTGTGTCCTTCATACCCCGAATCTGGACAGGGAGCCAAGTGACCCGAGGGCCCCTGGTGTGCTTTGGCAGTGGCTACACAATGACTCCTCTTCAGGGTCTGGCAGTTCTGTCATTTCTTCATGAACTTCACTGCTGCCAGTATAAAAGTATAAAAGGTGGCACACCCTGCACCCAAAAGCTGAGCGTGCCCAGGGTTGCCTTCATGTATCTGCTTGGCACAGACCCAGGTTTGCTGGGCCGACAGCTGGTGGCTCTCTGCCTCCTGGCCTGGCATTTGCTGCTGCTTACTTGATTGAGCCTGTCTACAGTTTTAACTAGAAGCACTTTGAAAACAGTTTGTGATAAAGTCGACTCCCAAATTAAACAGCAGAGAAGTGTTCCATGCTGTCTTATCTTTGGTCCCACTCAGGCCAAAGCCAGTTTTGACACTGGCTTGTGTCAAAACCAAGTTGAGTCTTTGTGAGCAAGCTGAGATGGTTAATAAGGCAAATTGGCAGGTTGCACAGAGTGAAATTATCAAAATATCTTTTATGTTAGAAAAGTTTCACTCCTTGTTAGGTTTGCTGCTCTCCTATTGCCAGAGCCCTGTGAACCAATGCTGCCAGCTACAGCAACAGTGTTTCTTATTGTGTTCATTTTAAACAGCATCTGAGAAGTGGTTTAAAAACAAGTATAAATGATTTTAGCATGTAAAAGGCATCAGTACTATCCATCTATAAACTTTACAATTTAAAAATGTTTAAACATGTCTGGAGGAATTGTGTACACTGAAATGGCACCCATTCTTAGCTTTTCAAATCAGCAGTTAAGAGGTCCAATTTGCTGGTTCCTACTGACAACTGCCTCACACAGCATCTGCCCATACATTAGTGTTAGGTGACTGTTGCTTACTTTAATATGGTAATGGCAATTTATCATCTGCTAAAAAGAGGCCACACCAATTCAGGTCTGGGAAAGTAAACTACCACAATGAAAAATGAACTTTCATCTTTTCCAGTTGTGATTTTTATAACAGGTAAAGGCTTTCATCCTGAATAACAACTCTATCCTAATAATATTCATGGAAATAGGACTTCAGACTTCTTTGAAGGAAACTACTGAATTTGTGGACTGACCATTAGGTTTAACTCATAAAGCCATATTGTGTGTGAAAATGTTGTGGCTGCATGTGTCTTCTCTGGGTGTTGTAGTGCTTGCTACTGCTCCTCAACAGCAGCTTTATATCACTGTTAGCTACCAAGCACAGAGAGAGAAGAAAATATTATTTTGAGTGCTTTGACAGTTGAGCAAAATAGAACAGAACTGCTATTAGAAAAGGTGTCGAATTGCCTTCTGGTAGAACCTCATCCTTTAGATTAATTAGATTAATTTTTTAACAACAGATGAATTAACTTATTGGTAATGAACTTCAGGGAAATTGCCAGTTGGTTTAGAATGAGGCTCAAGATTTTATTTTTTGGGCTCTGAAATAGACAGGGAAGAGAAATGAAGAATATGAGGATTTACCTGTGTTTGGGGACACTGTGTTTTTAGATGTCATTCAGGTGATCTATTAACGGTTTTTCATTTCTCTTCTCATCTTGTTACCATCTATCTCCTCATGTTACCAGTTGTGTATGTATGGGATATGCAAACACAGAAGCAATAAAATATTTTTAAATCAGTTTCTTTAAACTTCTAAATGGATTTCAATAGGGACTTAGGTTAAGGTGTTGGTTATTTTTGGAATTACTTAATGTGAAACAGGACTGGAAAAGAATTTCTCAGCATCTGTTAAGTATCTTTCTCAACACATAAAAAATTAATTCACAAGGTTTTCAAAGCCTTGTCTTCCCTTTCTTTGCATTTTCTTCCTTTGAAAGGAAGACATTGTATTATTTTTTATATTTTCATTCTTGTACTGATAATTTTGATTATTAATCTTTTATTAGATATTTATTTTTTAATTTCTTCATTCAAAATCCAGTTCTCTCAAATTCCAGTCAAAGAAACTACTTTTATTGTTTTTATTAGACGATTTCAGAATAATTTATTTATAATGTAAGTAAACTCCATTTTATATGTATTAGTCTTGCACTGTAATATTTTGAATCTTGTTTTTCATGTGTATATTCTTAGGCTGATTTCTTCCTTCTAGAAATTTAGTAAAAATGTTAGTTGAATTGTTGATGAGAAGGGAGGATGAAAAGCAAAAGCTTCCCTTTTTTCAAGTTTTCAGTTGCTTCTAATTTCATCTGCAAATGTAGCACTGCTTCATGAGATTTAAATTACCATTTTTCATTGCTTTACTTGTTATAGGTAAGCAATTAAACATGGAAACTTAGCTTACCACAAGTGTCTGTACAACTTTTTATGTACTGCAAGTGACAATTTCATGGGTACATGACAAAGACGAAGGTTTGATGTTGCCTTCTAGAGGGGTGGATGATACTGGGGTTTTGCTTTGGTTTTGTTGTAGAAGTGTGGGTTAGAACATTCTTCCATTCATGACAGTTTAAGTAATAGCAAAAAACTTCAGTCACAAATGTGTTTTTCATTTATAAAGCACTTACTCCTTAAGTCTAGATAATTTAATGTATATTTAGACTGTTTGGAAGGCTCTTGCTCTCTTGGGAGCAGTGAGGAACTCTGTATATTAGAGAAAGAACTTGTTTTTTTCTAATATATGTATGCTATTGTAATGCTTACAATATACAGAAGGCTCTACTGTCTTGTTTCCTGATGCGATCAGAAAAACAATTTAAATAGCCAAAAAGCTCAGAGAATGAAAAGTTCCTAATAAAGAGGGCAAGTTTACTTGAACCATTTAATCTGATTTAGTCTCAGTTTATCTTGTTTGCTGTAACCACACATCCTTTATATTTTTATAGCTGCATAATAATTCCCTTAGTTTTACATATGTTTTGTGTTGTGTGTTAGGCAGGAGTTTCATGCTATGGTTTATAGATTAAATTCACTCTAAGTAATTTTTTAATGTGATTTATATTTGGAGAGGGGTGATCTGTGCCTGACATGAGACCTAGCACTGAAGCACCCTGATGTTTCTCTCTGTTGGTGTGTCAGGCCTGACATACAATAAAAGCTCGTACACAATCCAGGCTTACTTCTTCGAGGGTTTTTGCAGCCCAATTGACCCACAGGACATCCTTAAACCACTTCATTTAAAAAAGAGAGTGAAGACAGATAAAGCATGGTCATTGCTTCTCTATCTTATGAACAGTTTTTACTTAAATAATGGAAGAAAAAATGAGGAGAGATGCGTCCTGTGAGTCAGTCGGAGTGTTCAAGAGCTGTAGGGCATCCCACAGTGGTGGCTGTGAGTCCACTGCCCTGTGAGCCCAAGGGCTGTTTGCAGGGTCATGGCAGAGGGAGAGAGTGGCTGCCTGGACAGACTGGGGAGTCTCTGGGATGGCCCAAGGGTGGAGGATTTGGGGGATGTCCATTGGCTTGCCTTGGAGTTAGCTTGCAGCCAGGGTTCGCAGCTGGGAAAGCAGCAAGCAGGGCACAATGCCCTTTGTGCAGATTCCTGACGTAGATAGCCAAAAATATCCTGTTTGACCAGGCTAAAAATCCCTGAATGACACAGTCCTGACAGCCAGGAGAGAGTGCTGAGGCAGTATTGCCAAGTATTTGTTCCGGCTTTTTGTTCCCCTCTCATTCCGTGCTGGCTGCTGAAGGGGGCAGGGTCGGGCAAGGGCCAGGGGTGTGATCTGGGTGCTGCTCTCACCTTCCTGCTGAGCACAGAGCTGGGGCCATGGCCCAGCCTGCTCTGGCCAGTCCCAACAGCCCCGAGGGGACAGGGCAAAGGCAAAGCAGCTTCTTCCCAGCATTTAGCTCTGGAAACTGTACTGAAGAGTGCTGCCACCATGTCCAACCTACATCAGCCTTCACTCAGCCAAAAATGAATGTGAGAGGCTGCAAAGTATGAGCTGTTTTTCAGTGTGGTGTTAGGTTAGGCCCCAGGCTTCTTCAGAGAGGAAGTGAGAGTGATGAGTAGGACAGAGAGGGGAAGCAAAAAAGTAGGATGTAGTTAAGGAAAAACAACACACAAAGGTCTTGCTTTGTGACACCAAGGAGAGGAAGAAGGTCAGGGATTTGTTCATGTGGAGATGTATTGCCTTTGGAAACCACAGTTGTGTGGGACAGACTCACTCCTCTGAGAATACACATAGATGTGTTGTCCCACATGCTTTAAAAAAGGAACAGTTCTTCCCACCTAGGCTGCTCACCCACCTCTTCCTCTATGCCCCTGACAGCGATGACACAGCAATCATGTTAGGTACAGTTCCAAACTCTGCCTGCAGTTGGTTTGAAGCCATGTGTACCGTGTTCTCACATGACTGTGGATGTGACAGGTATCATAGCTGGGGAACTTTTTAAAAGAAACCCAAAGAATTTGTAATCAAGCTAAGGAGGAGTGCACAGGCTGGTTTTCATTGTGTGCCAAGTGCTCCTCAGGGCTGTGGTGACTCAGAGAGGCATGAAACTTGCCTGAGATGGCATAGGTTGCTTGGCAAGAGCAGGGGCTTGAGCCTCATCCATCAGACACAGAGACAGGAGGCTCACTAGGGCTGGCAAAAAGCCAAAGCTACATGGTTTCTGATCTGGTTGGAATGGGGTTTCTTGTGTTCATCCCATGGTTTAGCCCTGCATCCCCAGTTAGCAGCATATAATGCAACTTTTAATGTTAGCTGTTCTATTTATGGTGCAAGACAAATGTGTTTGAAACCAGGGAAATGTTTTATGTCCTTGAACCTGGATCTTTGAGTCTTCCTGAATTGTTAATTCATCACAGTGCTTGTCACCTGCATCTGAACTCTCATGTAAGGGAACCTAGCTTATATTTGGGCAGTGATTCCAAAATCCTGTCCTAATTACTGTGTCCTTCACTGTTGGTGTTACTAGCCTCTTGTGGGCATATTCAGTAACCTCCTGGTCTGCTCTGTGTGTCTATCATGGTGAATTGTACAGGAGCTTCTCTGCTTGGAAGGGGAAAGAGGGATTTTGTGGGGGAATGCTAGAGAATTGAGTGTGTGAGTTACTTTCTGTGAGTCCCAGATGCAGAGTGAGTAAGTCACTAAAGCTAAGTGAAAGTGCAACGTGCCCTCCCCCACATCCCAACTCTGTCAGCTTGGGCTTAATAGATTAATCCCTTAATGAATGTGGCCAGAAGAGGGCTTTGAGGCACTGAAAAAGAGTCTGGGATGACTCTCAAATGAAAAACATAAGCCACAACATATTTGTCTTGGTGGTGGTTTGTTTTCTAACTCCTCCATAGTTTGTGTTTTGGAAACAAATGTCACAAATACCACTGAGGCTCTTTTATTTGAAGTTCGTGAGTGAAATCAGTTAATGACATAGATTTGATAACTCTTAGATTGAAGAGGATAATTTTTTTTCCCCCAAAATATAATTTTAAATCTGATTTTTTATCCTAAGCCACAAAAGGATCAAGAGGAGTAAACTTTATCAGGCTAGAATAGTATATCTCAAGTTACTTCTTTCTGCAACATTAAGCAGTGTCTGTGGTCTGAGAGCAAGACATGCTGTAGCAGTCAGTGTTCTCTGGGTCAGCCATCCATTAAACATTTTGTCCCCTCCAATTTTTACTCTCTCCTTCCCTGGTCAGTTCTGAAAATGGACAAGTGCTTTTCACCCTTTGCCCTTGCTCTTGGGCCCTCTGGAGGCACCTGTTGTTTTGTGGTTCAGTTTGGTACAAGGCTGTCCCTTTGCTCCCTAAATCTCTGCTGCAGGCTGTTTGCAGTGACCAGGAGTATTTCTATGATATTCCTCTGCTGTGGGGTGGCAGCTCCCTCTGAAGGACCTCATGGAAGAGCGTCCAGGTGGGACATGCCTGTGGGAGTGCAGTAGGTGAGAGGCATGGCACAAGGAGGACCTGCAGTGAAAGAACCATGACAAATTACAGGGTTTTTCCCCTCTTGCCATCCTGCAGTCAGTTCTTTCCACTCCTTCCTACCCTTTGGTTTTCCCTGAGCTGGGTGAGTCATGCTTTCCAGTCCTGCCTGCCCTCTTTTCTGAGTCAGCTTCTCTCAGGGAATTGTCGCTTGCTCTTGGCAAGGCAGCTATTTCTGTCTCTAGCTGTTTCTTCCTTCTAATGGTTTCATATCTTTCTGCTCCACATTTGTGTATTTTCCCCTGTGTAGTATTATTATTATTTGCTTTTTCTGTGCCTTGCTTTTGACCTTGCTTTGATAAGTAAAATTAGAAAAAGAAAGTTACTTTACTGAAAAAATATCCTGTCTTAAAAATCCAATTAAAAATATCAGGTGCTCCAGTAACAAGCTGATATTATAATTACTTTACATTGTTGTAAAATGCGTTCAACATATGTGTATCTTCCAACCCTAGAAGTTTTATATCTGCTGGTTGAAATGTAGGTTCCCTATGTTAACACATTTCTTCCTGATGTCCTGTTGCCCGTGTTCTTGTGCACAACAAACATTGTTACAAGTAGATATTTTCATTTGGGGCTGGAGTCATGACTTTTCATCCTGCCCTGCCACACATCAGCGATGGCAATTTTACTCATCTTTCTTTTCTTGTCAGACTTGGATTTTCCTTTTCTTTGCAGCAGGTACTCACCTCTTTGCACAGGAGGGGGCTGACCTCCATCACATATTCAGCTCATAAAAATGTCCCCTG